CCTCATCTTCCAGTTCTCTATTTTTTCCTTAAACTATTTTAAATTTTAACCCCCAAGGACAAAATTGACATATCATTGTATGCTGTATATAATTTTCTGGATTGTTTTAGATTTTGTTACATAACCACAAATCTAATTTATATAGTTTAAAGTGGCAAATTTAAGGTTAGCTCAGTTTGTCATGTGGCAGCCTGTGTTTGGTGCTCTTGGTACCATTACAGCCAAAATTGACATAATTAGTCTAAACAGTTGTTGGTCTTGGCATTTAATGATTGAGACTAAGAGTCACAAAAAAAAAAAAAAAAAAAAAAAAAAAACTGTAACATAGTGCCAAAGAATTAAGGAATGGAGCAAACAACTTTCTGTTCCCAACAGACTGAAGAGAGGTAAGATCTTCCAAAAGACTCAAAACCCAAAAACCAGCTGCACCTGGAAGACACCTCAGAGAAGTAATCACCACCTAAGGATCCTAAATACTAGCAATAAAGCACTTCACCATAGGCCGTTTACAAGAATCGCCCCAGGAGTTAAACAGAAAGAAAGAAAGAAAGAGAGAGAGAGAGAGAGAGAGAGAGAGAGAGAGAGAAGGAAGGAAGGAAAGAAAGAAAGAAAGAAAGAAAGAAAGAAAGAAAGAAAGAAAGAAAGAAAAGAAAGAGAAAAAAGAAAGAAGACACTTAAACAAAATGCAACCCCAGACATGCAGTTCATCAAAGGCAAATCCAGGGGACAGTGAGGTGAGACAATCCAAAGCCCCAACCAGGTCTCTCATAACAACAATTGAATGAGCTCTAAAAAATGAAATCAGAAATAATCTCTGAAATAACTGCAAAGATGATGTCCAAAAAAGGACCATGCTTAGTGATGCAAGAACAGATACAGACAAAAAGATAGACGAGCTTTAAAAAATTATGGAGCAGAGGCTGGGGATTTAGCTCATTGGCATAAGCGCCTGCCTTGCAAGCAGGCAGTCATAAGTTTAATCCCCAGTACCAATAAAAAGGAAAAGGAAAAAGACAAAAAAAAAATTATGGAGCAGGGGATTTAGCTCAGTGGCATAAGCACCTGCCTTGTAAGCACATGGCCATGAGTTCAATCCCTGGTATAAAAATAAAGAGAAAATTATGGAAGCTCAGTACAGGAAAGAAATGGAATCCATAAAGCAGATTCAAGCAGAGATCCAGGACGATAAAAATTCCATTGAAAGTATTCGAAGCGGATTAGGCCATTGTGAGGACAGGATCTCAGATATTGAAGACAGGACTGCAGTTAGTGGCCAGGAAAAGAAAGGTTTCACAAAACTAGCAAGGGACCATGAGAAAACAATACAGCAGCTGCTAGATGAGACAAGGAAGAATAACAAGATTAATTGTAGTCCATGAAAAAGCAGGAGATACCACAAATGATACTTAGAAAATGTTCACAGACTTCATGGCAGAAAAATTCCCTTGCAGAGAAAGAATTTGACATGCAGATAGATGAGGCATACTAAACTCCAATTAGCCATGACAAAAAAAAAAATCTACAGCCAGACCTATAGTTAAGATTTCAGAAAATCAGTGCAAGAATAAACTTTTAAAAGCTGTTAGGGAAAAGAAACACATCACCTATGAAGGAAAGCCCATCAGAATCACAGCTGACTTCTCAGCACGAACTCTCAAGTCAAGGAGAGCTTGGAGTAAAGTGCACCACGTTCCACAGGAAAACAACTTTCAACCCAGATTTTTTTTTTTTTTAAATTTTTTTGTCTTTTTCTTTTTTTTATCGGTACCGGGGATTGAACTCACGACTACCTGTTTCCAAGGCAGGAGCTTATGCCGCTGAGCTAAACCTCCAGCCCCTGAACCCAGACTGATGAATCCTGTGAAACTATCTTTCAAAACTGATAGAGAAATAAGATGCTTCCATGAGAAAGAACATCTGAAGAAATCTATGACCACCAACCAGCACTCCAAAATGTTCTGAAGGACATTCTAGAAAGAGATAATAAGGACTACAGCTCCATGAACCCCAACAGAAGGAACCCACCAGGGAAGGCAAACAATTAGAAGGAGGGGGGAAAAGGGAGAGCCAACCACAGGAAGAGTCAAGACAGTCTCAGAAAGGCCAGGTGTGGTGCATGCCTGTTATCCCCCCACTTGGGAGGCTGGGGCGAGAGGATTACAGCAACTTCAAGGCCAGCCTTGGCTACAAAGTGAGTTCAAGGCCAATCCGAACTCATAGTATGACCTTGTCTTAAAAAATTGCTGTAGAGAAAAGAAAAAAATCACCTATAAAGAAAAGCTAATCAGAATCACAGCTGACTTCTCAGCACAAACTCTCGTGTAAGGAGAATTTGGAAAACGAAAAAGCCAAAAAAAAAAAAAAAACAACAACAACAACAACAACCTGGGGGCTGGGGATTTAGCTCAGCGGCATAAGCACCTGCCTTGCAAGCAGGCGGTCATGAGTTTGATCCCCGGTACCAGGAAAAAGACCAAAAAAAAAAAAAAAAAAAGACCGCCCCCCCCAAAAAAGAAGATCCAATAATATGCCAATACAAGAAACACATTTAATTTTTAAAAATTCATAGACTTTCCATTTAAGCCAAAGGAAAACAATACTCCATGGAACAGGAACCCAGAAAAAAGCAGGGGTAGCTATTCTATTTGCAGACAAAGTAGATTTTAGACCAAGATTGTTTAAGAAAGACAAAAAAAGTTCACTACAGAGGCAGAAATAACAATCATAAATACATATGCACCAAACATCAGCACACCCAACTATATAAAACAAGTATTAGTGGACACGAAAAATAAAATAAGCACTAATACAATTGTGATGGAGGACCTCCATACCCTACTGTCACAATAGATCCACTAGACAAAAAAATCAAGAGATAATAAAACTGAACCAAAGTTTTGAACCAATGGGCTTCGTAGATATCTACAAAGTGATTCACCCCTCGACATCAGAATAAACATTCTTCTCAGATGCACATGGGATGTTTCCCAAAATAGACCACATACTAGCCCATAAAACATACCACAGGCGGGCATGCTGGCACATGCCTGTAATCTCAGCAGTTGGGAGGCAGAGGCAAGATAATGACCACAGTTCAAGGCCAGCCTGGGCTCATCATGAATTCAAAACCAGCCTGAACTACACAATGAGACCTTGTTTCAAAAAAATCCTTAAGTAAATCCAAAGGAAATTATCTTGTAAATATTATCAGACCATAGTGTAATGAACTTGATTGAAAATCAATGGCAAAAAAAAAAAAGAAAATCAATGGCAAAAAATACCACAAGGACTTCATAAACACATGGAGATTAAATAACACCCTCCTAAACAACCAATGGGCCACAGATTAGAAGTTAAAGAAGAGGGGCTGGGGATTTAGCTCAGCGGCATAAGCGCCTGCCTTGCAAGCAGGCAGTTGTGAGTTCGATCCCTGGTACCGATAAAAACGAAAAAGACAAAAAAAAAAAAAAAGTTAAAGAAGAAATGAGATAATAATGCCAGTACAACACACTGGAAATAATGGGACCTAATGAAAATAATACTATACAGGAAATTTATAGTGATGAATCTTCATATCTGAAAACCATGACAATCTCAAATAAACAACCTAATGCTGAACCTCTAGCTTATAGCAAAATAAGAACAAGTCAAGTCCAAAGATCATATGAGGGAAGAAATTATAAAGATCAGAGCAGAAATTAATGCAATGGAAGATAAGAAAACAATACAAAGAATCAACAAATTGAAGATATGTTTCCTTAAAGATTAAATAAAATTGACGAACCCTTAGCCAACTTTATCCAAAAAAGGAAAGAAAAGATTCAAATCCATGCAATTAGGAATGAAAAGGGTGAAATCATAACAGATCCTATAGAAATCCAGATCACCAATACTTACTTTGAGAACCTGTATTCTAATAAAATGTAAAACATAGAAGAAATGGACAGATTCCTAGACACATATGAAATACAAAGCTGGATTAAGAAGATATAAACTTGCAAGCAGGCAGTCGTGAGTTCGATCCCTGGTACCGATAAAAACAAAAAAGACAAGAAAAAAAAAAGAAGATATAAAAATTCTAAATAAACCGGGGGCTGGGGATTTAGCTCAGCGGCATAAGCGCCTGCCTTGTAAGCAGGCAGTTGTGAGTTCGATCCCTGGTACCGATAAAAAGGAAAAAGACAAAAAAAAAATCTAAATAAACCAATATCAAGCAATGACATTGAAGACTGATTAAAAACCTACCAACAAAGACAATCTCAGGCCCTGACAGATTCACTGCTGAATTCTATAAGGAATTTAGAGAAGACCTAACACCACTATTTCTCAAACTCTAATGAAATTGAATAGGAAACAATACTCCCAGATTCATTCCTGGAAGCAAGCATTATTTATACATCATCTCAATAGTTGCAGAAGAGGGGCTGGAGATTTAGCTCAGCAGCATAAGCGCCTGCGTTGCAAGCAAGCAGTCGTGAGTTCGATCCCCGGTACCGATAAAAAGGAAAAAGACCAAAAAAAAAAAAAAAATAGATGCAGAAGAAGCACTTGACAAAATCTATCACCTAGCATGATAAAAATTCTACAGAAAATTGGAATAAACGGTCTTTATCTCAACCTGATAAAAGACAAACCAACAGCCAGCATCATACTGAATGGTCAAAAACTGAAAGCTATCACTCTAAAACGAGTAACAAGACAAGGCTGTCTACTATCACCATTCTATTTAATGTAGCTCTGGAAATATTAGCCAGAGCAATTAGACAAGAGAAAGAAATAAAAGGAATAAGGGTAGGAAAATAAGAAGTTAAATTATTCTTATTCCTGGATGACATGATACTCTACATAGAAGACCCCAAAAACTCCACCAAAAGACTTATAGATTTAATGATCAAATTCAGTAATATAGCTGGAAACAAAGCTGACACTCAAACATCAACAGCCTTGGCCAAGCAAGTGCGCCTCACGGTGGTGTCAGGGGTCTGAGCTGCCCAGCTGGCTGGCAGGAGATCACCATGCCTTTGGCCAGACAGTTACTACACCCTTCCTTGGAAGAGGAAAAGAAAAAACATAAAAAGCAATGGCTAGTTCAAAGTCCAAATTCTTATTTTATGGATGTAAAATGTCCAGGTTGCTACAAGATTACCACGGTTTTCAGCCATGCACAGACGGTAGTTCTTTGTGTAGGTTGTTCAACCGTTCTGTGCCAGCCTGCAGGAGGAAAGGCTAGACGCCCAGAAGGCTGCTCACTTAGAAGAAAGCAACACTAATGATCTGTACAGCTTCCTGAATTTTTTTCTTAATTTTTTTTTGTCTTTTTCTTTTTTATCGGTACTGGGGATGGAACTCACGACTGCCTGCTTGCAAGGCAGGCGCTTATGCCGCTGAGCTAAATCCCCAGCACCCCCTGAATTTGTTTTTAAACAGAAAGCTGTATCATAAGCTCAGTAATTGTAATGAACCTACCAAGATATATAATTATGTTTGATTTTGTAAGGTGCACAGCATTGAGCTCCTATTTTGATGGCAATTTTTCAATAAAGTTTTGATTATGGACAAAAATAAATCAATAGCCTTCCTGTTCACAAACAACAAATTTACTAAAAGAGAAATTAGGGAAACCACATCCTTAACAATAGCATCCAAATAAATGAAATACTTAGGAATCAATCTAACAGCATATTGAAAACTACAGTTTTCTATAAAAGAGATTGGAGGGGATATTAGAAAGATATTCCTAGGGCTGGGGATTTAGCTCAGTGGCATAAGCACCTGCCTTGGAAGTGTGAAGTCATGAGTTCAATCCCCAGTACCAAAAAAAAAAAAAAAGAAAGAAAAGAAAAGAAAGCTATTCCTTGCTTGTGGATAGGAAAAACCAATATAGTGAAAACAGAAAACGGTCATACTTTCAAAATTGTTATACAGATTTAATACAATGCAAATCAAAATTCCAACAACATATCTCACAGAATTAAAGAAAACAATTCTAAAATTCATTTGGAACCTGAAGAGACCTAGAATAGCAAAGGCAATCTTGGGCAACAAAGACAGGACAGGAGGCATCACAATCCCTGACTTGAAATTATACTACAAAACTACTGTGGTAAAAACAGCATAGCACTTACAAAAAAAAAAAAAAAAACCTCAAGACCCAAGGATCAGTGGAACACATTAGAAGATGTGGAAACAACTCCTAACATACTCAGTCACCTTTTCTATACGCAACACCTTTGCTAGTAGAAAGACATAATACCAGTGCTGTACAAACTGGCTTTCACATGCTTAAGATAAAGCTAGACTCATATCTTTTACCCTGCACTAAACTAAAGCCAAAATGAATCAAAGATCTAAATATTAAAACAGAAATACTAAGTCTGCTGGGAGGAAGAATAGGTAAACTCTTGAAGACATCAGTGTAGGCAAAGACTTTATGAACAAAACCCTGACCACACAGAAACTATCACAAAAAAATCAACAACTGGGATCTCATTTTATTAAAAAGCTCCGCAGGGCAAGAGAAACCACCAACAGATGAGACCATGGTGTGAGAAAAACTTTGCCAGCTGTTCCTCAAAGGACTAATATCTAGAATATATAAATATCTCAAAAAAAATCAGACCTCAAATTTAAAGACCCAATCCAAAATAGGCCTCTGAAATGAATACACACCTCTCAGATGGAGAAGTACAAACATCAAATAAATACATGAAGAAGTGTTCAACATCACAAGTTATTCAAGAGATGCAAATTAAAACAACGCTGAGATTCCACCTCACCCCAGAAAGAAGGGCCAGGATCAAGAAATCAACCAATAGCAAGTGCTGGCAGGGCTGTGGGGGAAAAGGAACCCTCCACTGCTGGTGGGAGTGCAGACTGGTGCCACCACTATGCAAATCAGCATGGAGAGTCCTCAAAAATCTAAAGCTAGAGGTTCCATTCAACCCAGGTGTCCCCCTTCTTGATATCTTCCCAAGAGACTTAAAAGCATCACACCACAGGTATATATGCACATCCACGTTTATAGCAGCACAGTTTATAATAGTTAAATCTTGGAAAGAGCCCAAGTGCCCATCAATCAAGGAATGGATAAAGAGGATGCGGTGTTTTACACAATGGAGTACTACTCTGCCATAATGAAGAAGAAGCTTGGGGCATTTCTAGGCAAAAGGAAGCACCTTGAGAACATTCTCTTAAGTGAAATAAATTGGACAAATGTGTAAATATCACAAGATTTCTCTGGTGTAAATAGAGTGTAAATAAGGACCAAAATGTAAAATAGATATTGGGAAATGGGGGGAAATATTCAAACGGGAAGGGGGACAAGGGAAGGGGAGGGGGAAAAAAAAGAGGGACAAGAAAAAAAGAATAGAAGGAAAAATAGGAACAAAGCTTTTGTAAATTAAGAGGGGAAGGAGTTGATAGGAGGGAAAGGGGAAAATGCATCTTAAATTCCTTATGATGCATGTTTATCATTACGTGTACCGGGGATGTACCAATAAAACACAAAGTTATAAAAAAGGAAAAAATGGAAACAAAGCTTTTGTAAATGAGCAGGGGAAGAGATGTTGAAGGCAGGCATGGAAAATGGGGGGAAAAGAAAGCAACAAGATATATCTTGTACCAATACAAACTCCCTATGATGAATATGATCATTGTGTATATCTAAAATGTACCAATAAAATGAACTTTTAAAGAAACTTTAACAGGACTAGGGATTTAGCTCAGTGGCACAGCGCCTGCCTGGCAAGTGCAAGGTCATGAGTTTGATTCCTGGTACCAAAAAAAAAAAAACATCTCAGCCTGTATCTAGAGTGTGACCCACCCATTCGACTCCTGGGTCCTAGCTCAGGCTCTGAGCCTAGGTCCTCACGGCTTTGAAACGAATGTTCACAGCCTGTTTGTAGCAGCCCCCATCTGGAGAGTGGCACCCAGCATGTGGAAGTACAGACAAGTCCTGCACCATGGTAAAGGAGGGGGCACTCTAGTGCCTGCCTTGCAAGCAGGCAGTCGTGAGTTTGATCCCCGGTACCAATAAAAAAGAAAAAAAGACAAAAAAAAAAAAAAAAAAAAGGAGGGGGCACTGCTAGCACCCAGCAGTGAGTGTGAACCTCAGAGCCTCCCCCAAGCTGGGTTAGAGAAGCAGACCAAAAGGGCACAGTTAATAGGGCTCTGAGGCTGTGTGTGGCAGCGCATGCCCGGAACCTCAGCACTCAGGAGAGAGAGGAGGCCAGCCTGGGCTGCATAGCAAGAGGCTCTCTCAAAAAACAAAAATCAATAAATAAATAAAAAGGAAGAAAGAAAGTTTGTAGAGGAGACTTTAGAGGTAAAAAGCACTTTCATTGTTTCGTTTTGTTTTATTTTGTTGTCTTTTTGAGACAAGGTTTCACTATGTAGTTCAGGCTGAACTTAAACTTGCTTAGTAGACCAGGCTGGCCTTAAACTTGCAGCAATTTTCCTGCCTCAGCCTTCTGAGTGCTGGGATTACAGTGGGTATCACCACGCCCAGCTTACTTTCGTTATTTTGATCATGAGTTTCACTGATACATACATGTATGTTTTATATATGTCTCCAAACATGTAATTGTCACATAAGTGTAGATTTAAAAATGCTAATATACCTTCATAAAGCTACTTTAAAAGAGGCAGTAAACCAAGTAAAAGTCAATTAGACCTCTATGTATACACAGAAACACTCAACCTCTCATTATAAGGGAGGCAAAAGATGAGGAGCAGAGAGATCTCATCGCTTTCCTCAGGTGAGGGCTCCTGAATCACAGGGCCACCTCCAGCTCCAGTGAGGCTGCCTAACACCCAGGAGGGCACTGTTCTGGGGCAGATGGTGAAAGGGTTTTGGCCCAGGCCAGATACTGTAGCCGGTAAAGCCAAGGAGCTCCTGTCTCTCCCTCTCTTAGGAATCTACCTCTGGCGCCAAACTAATACCAGTGGGCTACCTGTGCATCTCTAATGCCCCCCTTAGGCTCCACCCCAAGCCGAGGCTACTTATGTGCCTCACTCCACGTGTTCCACGGAGAGATCACCGACCCAGGGGTGGAGATGGTATGCCCCAGGGGTTCGGGGTGTCTCTCCCCGCATTCCCAAAATAAAGGTTATTTATATTTCATACTTCTTATTTTTTCAGCCGCGGCCGGTCCTTCCCCACAGTTCTATCAGATGGCACACAGTAAAGGGATACGGTGGATACCACTATGCCGCCTTACACAGAGAAATCAAAGATTTTGGAGGAGAGGCTGGGAGTCTGGGTCACAGTGCCCTGGTCCCCATCTATGGGTCTGATGCCACACCCAGGCCCCCTAGAGCAACCGGCAGTGGTGTTGGTTGCAGTCCAGTCTCAGCTGTCACCCAGTTGCATGCCCGGCTCTGTCCCACCCCATCTCTGGCCACTCTTCTGTGTCTCTCCAGTGACCCCTTGGAGGGTCTGGTCCCTCTCAGGCCACGAAGTTCCATCTAACTTAGCCATCTATAACAGAGCCAAGACCTTGCTTTCTAAATAACATTCCCACTGAGAATCAGGGCTTCCCATAAACAACGACTGCTGCCCAGGCTGGAGCACAGAGACACAGAGGCCCTAGGCGCCAGCTAAATGGCGTCCACTGAGCTGAGCATCAGATCTGTGCACAGGGAGGGCTGCTCTGTCCCTAGCCCCAGTGAAGCACCTTCCTGTGCAAAGCGCTTTCTGCATGAGAGGCCTTTGAAAAGCCTCCCGAGGTGCACTGAGAGGCACAACCCCCGGAGAAATGGCCACCAGAACTGGCAGTGTGCAGCGGGGGGTGGGGATCCACCCAGCCCAGTGGTGCTGCCTAGGACCTGTGGTGGAGGAACTGAACAGGCATCCTCCCCAGTGCGGGTCCCAGGTACCATGGGGAGCCCATGATCAACTCCCTACAACAAAGCCGTGGTTGGGCCCGTATACACTAGACCTGAATCAGACAGCAGAAGCGGGTGTCACAGCATTTGCCTAGACGTCCTGCAAGCCTCACACACTCACAAGCCAGGCTTTGGAAGGCTGATCCCATTGTCGATCAGCTGCAGCTCCGTGTGCTCCTAGGAAAGTGGGGCCTGGCCAGCAGTGTTTGTTTCTTTTTTCACAAGTTTAAATATCAGGCCGGGGACATAGTTCAGCAGCACAGTGCCTGCCTGGCAAATACGAGGCCTTGAGTTCAATTCCTAGTACCAAAAGAGCAAATAGTAAAAAAAAATGAAATAGCCTTTTCCCTCTAAGCTCTGATGTTTCTGAAGAAAAGTCCGCTGCTACTGCTCCTGCCGTCACCACCTCTCTAATCAGTTGTTTTTTCTCCTCCTGCTTTCAAAGTTGTTGGCAGTTTGACTCTTATGTGACAGCTGTAGATTTCTGTGCTTGTATTATTTCAAGCTTGCTGATCCTTGGATGTGTGATTCTTCACCAGTCCACAAAGCCGGAGACTAGACTTTTGTGTATTCTTTGGTCTTTGCCTTTCCCCTACTCCCAGTCATGTTATGTGTTGTTATTTGTATTTGTACCCTGATGTGCCTTTCCCTGTTTACAGACCCTTTTCTCCTGCACTCTTGACCTTCTCTCAAATTCACTGAATATTTCTTTGGTTGTTGAGCTCCCTCCTGAACTTGTTATTTCATTATTGTACTGTTCAACTCCAGAATTTCCATGTGGATCTTTTTTAGTCATTTCTCTATCTTCACTCATCTGTTTGATGATTATCATCAGAGACTTAAAAACCTTTTCAACTGTGTACAGTGATGCATCCCTGTAACCCCAGCTGCTAGGGGTCCTGAAGCAGGACCAAATTCAAGGCCAACCTAGCAATTTTTTAAAATCTTATTGTTGGTTTTTTTGAGGCAGGGTCTTACTGTATTGTTATGTCATCCAGGCTGACACAGCATTGAACTCTTTATGTAACTAGCCCAGGGTGGCCTTCGACTCACTGCAATCCTCCTGTCTCAGCCTCCCAAGTGCTAGAATTACAGGCATGCCACCAAGCCCGGTTATTTTTAAAATTTGAGACAGTCTTGCTAAATTGCCCAGACTGCTGTAATCCCAGCACTTGGGAGACTGAGCCAGGAGGATCACGGTGAGTTCAAGACCAGCCTGGACTGCATAGAGTGACCCAGCCTCATAAGAACAATAAAAAATAACAATAAATAATTTCCTATCGAGGCCACACCCTCGGGATTTTAAAATTCCGACGGAGGCGAGGACGAAACGGGGTACACGTTCTGTGGGAAGGACAGAGGGGCCTGAATTCGCTGGGGACTTATTTTCCACAATAGCGCGAGGCTCCCGATCCCCCGTGGGTCTCACAGTCGCCTAAGTCCGCACACCGGCAGCCACTAGGTTGCTCCGGACTTCCTCCCCGCTCGGGCCCCTCAACCCTCGGTGCGGTTTCCGGGGGTCACATTTTCCATAGCACCGCCCGGAATTCCTGGCAGCGCGCTTCCGTCCGCGGCACTTCCGGTGGCGCGGTGTGACCGAGCTCTGGTACCGACTGGCAGCCACGGGGTCCTCTCGGCAGCATTGCAGACTGAACGCGGACTGGGGTGGCCGCGTCCCTTCGTCGGAGCGTGCCCGTCTGCGCTGGCCCTCCAGTTGAGCTTGGCTTGGCCCGCACCTCAGGGTGCGAGGAGTGAGCCCAAGACGAGCTCTCGCCGCCACTGCCGGTCGGGAGCGCCCCGCGGGTCGGGGGCGCCGCGGCGCAGGGCCCGGGAGGCAGGGCAAGAGGCTCTCGGGCAGAGCGGGGCGGGGTCCAGTGCGCCCTGGTGCTCCTGCCCGTGAGAGGGGCGACGCAGGCCTGGCGAGGACCCGCGCGGAGGGGCGCGGTCGCTGCTCACGCGCGACCAGGGCCGGCAGTGTCATCGCCGCACGCGTCCCGGGTAAGGCATCAGCCGGACGCCTCTTGCCCGAGCGTGTGGCGTCGCGGTCGGGAGCGGTCACTCCCTCGCAGTTGAACCTCGTGCCTTCACCCGGTTTGGCTCCGCACGCTGGACTCCCTGGACGCGGCCGCACCTTGTTCTCTCTCCCCTCATTGTGGAGACCATGCCTAAGCTGCAGGGCTTCGAATTCTGGAGCCGCACCCTGGGGGGAGCTCGCCACGTGGTGGCGCCCATGGTGGACCAGAGCGAGCTGGCCTGGCGGCTCCTGAGCCGCCGCCACGGGGCACAGCTCTGCTACACCCCGATGCTGCACGCGCAGGTTTTTGTGCGCGATGCCAACTACCGGAAGGAGAACCTGTACTGCGATGTGTGCCCTGAGGACCGGCCGCTCATCGTGCAGGTGGGCAGAGGGCCCCTGCCCCCAGCTGGCAGCCTAGCCCTGGGCCCTGTGGAGCAGTCTTCCTTCTGCCTGGGGCTGGCACTCTCAGCTTTTCGTATCCGCTGAGAGGGCCAGGTCCACCCAGCCCCAGCAGTGACACTGGAGCAAAGCATGGCTTCCAGAAAGCAGACCCTTCCCCTGAGGACTCTCTTCCGTGAAGGGACAGCTCGGGTGACAGACTGGAAACTCATACCCTCCCTTCTCAGAGCAGGGAACATTGCTGTTCAGCAGTTGGCACTTGTAGCTTCTGTTACATACCCAGAGGGAGCCTGTAGATCGCCAACCCCCACTGGGGTGAGATTCTGCAACCTGCTTTGTCATTGTAAATGTTGATAGGACAGCAACAGTTAACCCCTGAACTACACCCTCTCCAGGCCTGCTGGAACCTGTCACAGGGCTGGGCAGTGAAGAACCAGGCCCTGGCTTGGCTTGTGGGTGACTTCCTTGTCTTCTGTAGTTTTGTGCCAATGACCCAGAGGTGTTTGTCCAGGCGGCTCTCCTAGCTCAGGACTACTGTGATGCCATCGACCTGAACTTGGGTTGCCCACAGATGATAGCCAAGAGGGGTGAGTTCATTTTGTTAGGGTCCCATGTGGTGTGGTAGGCTCTGCCCAGCCCTGTGGGTGGGAGTGGGCGCTGGGGAGGATTGGCTCTGTTTTTGGTCACAGTGGTCACTAGGCTGGAGGAGGGTCCCTCAGGGCTTTTCACCTCTTCATTGAGCTTCTCCCCAGATAAATAGGCTTGCGGGGTGTGGGGGGGGGATTTAGCTCAGTGGCATAAGTGCCTGCCTGGCAAGTGTGAGGTGGTGAGTTCAATCCCGGTACCAAAATAAATAGGCTTTGGCAATTGGAGGTCAGCACCCTGACTCAGGTCACAGTGTTCACTGACTTTTTCTTCCTCACTGGGCCCCTCAGCTGGTGCTTGTGGTCCTAGACCATGTGGCAGGTATATTCTGTGCAGCTCCCCAGGGAGAGCACCCCAATTAGATGCTGATTAAACTGCTGGATTTCATGACAGTCCTCCTGCTCCAGCCAGAGACATTACTGCTTTGGGGTTGCTGTGAGGGCTGCCATTTGGCATGCAGCCTGGCTGTAGGGTCTTCGGTGTCCCAAGGGGCTGTCTGGCAGGGGACTTGTGACCTGTGTAGATACAGAACCACCAGTGGGCCACATTAAGCAGGTGTGTTTTAGGCAGTCTGGACACCCGTGTCAGGGCCACACTTGTCCTCCACAGGTCACTATGGTGCCTTCTTGCAGGAAGAGTGGGACCTGCTCCAAAGAATGAGTAAGCTGGCCACAGGCCACCTTATGGGAGTGTGAATGAGACCAAAGAACAGCCTTCAGGGGTTCAGGACAGGACAGTGGTAGCAGTGTCCTGGGGGTCACTCTGGGGGCCCTGGCTGCAATAGTCTCTGCTTGAAGGAGATGGCCGTGGAGAGTACTACCTGACCCCCTAGAAAGAGTAGGTGTGGGAGAGTGATCTTGCTCCATCCCAGCCTCCTGGGGGGCAGAGCTAGGTCTCTTAGCTGCCATCACTGGGAGCTGGCATTGGCCTATGTAAGAACTTTACGACTATGATGTGTACAGTCATTATGTATATCAAAAATGTACCAATAAAATCTGATTGGAAAAGGAAAAGCCAACTCGGGTGACAGCCAGAGCTATTTTGCAGGAAAGCTGGTATCTGTCTGGGCTTAGCTGCTTGTAGGTTCTCAGAAGCCTTGTCTCTTCCCAGTTCAGCTGGCCCATGAGAAACTCTCTGTTCCTGTCACGTGCAAAATCCGTGTCTTCCCAGAGATTGATAAGACCGTGAGGTACGCCCAGATGCTGGAGAAGGCTGGCTGCCAGGTGAGGGCCTTGGCTTGCAGGTGTGGGCATCAGGCCTAGCAGGCAGCCAGTCCTCGGGTTCCAGCAGCATCCAGTACTTCCCATGGAGCTTCAGGGCTGAACAGGCTCCTGCCCTCCTGCCACCTCTTCCCTTGTGTGTGGGAGGCACCAGGACATTTCCTGAGCTCTTGAGACCTCCCATCCTGGCTCCAGGGCATTGTTCCCACAGGGAGTCCCCTTAGGCTCACCACCGTGTCCCTGGTGCCAGCCAGCACCTCCTTTGAAGGAGCTCAACGCCCATCCTTCCCAGAGGATTAGGAAAGGTTGGTGGTTGTTGGCAGACCTGGCTTCTTGTGTGTCCACTGTATGTTGAACCTGCCTGGTTGAGGACTCGAGGAGACTGTCCCTAGCACCTCCCTCTAGGCACTTAGCTTCTGGAAGTGGACAGAAGTCTCTGATCCTAGGTAAGGCCTAGGCAGGGATGCAAACTTTGGCCTGCTTCCCTGTGCTCTGCCAATCACAGGTCAGCCTGGAGCTCATCTCCCCCCACCCCAGTCTTGGGCCTTACATAACAAAGATGCTGCCTCCTCCCGGCTTGGGGAAGAGTATAAGCTTCCTGGATGCAACCTAGCTTCTCCCAAAGGGCAAAGCGTTCAGGGCCTTTGGGGCTGGGGAATGAGCCAGGCCCAAGGTGGCCTTGTCTCTGCCAAGCTGGGGGAACTGAGACTGAGGGAGAAGGTCTAGAGTCAATCTAGGGGCTCTCCCTGGCCCAGGGTTGAGGTGTACACTGGTCTGCCCTAGCTGCTGACTGTGCATGGGCGCACCAAGGAGCAAAAGGGGCCGCTGTCAGGAGCAGCATCCTGGGAGCACATTAAGGCTGTACGGTAAGTGGGCTGTAGCCCTTAGTTCTTTGACCTTCTTGGTTGGGGGGGAAACATAAACCCAGGGCCACACCTTGGGGTGCTCAGAACCCCTAATGCTCATGAGCAGCCAGAGGGACTGGGGACTGCTGGGCAGGGGTAGAGGTCTGGGGCAGCAGTGTGGTAGCAGGTGACAGGACCTGCCAAGGTGGAGTTTGGAGGCCACTTACCCCCTCCCAGGTGGCACTGTCCTGGTGGGGCACAGGGTCAGGCCTTTCTGTCTGGACAGGAAGGCTGTGGCAATCCCTGTGTTTGCCAATGGGAACATTCGGAGCCTGCAGGATGTGGAAAGGTGCCTCCAGGACACAGGCGTGCAGGGTGTCATGAGTGCAGGTGAGCAGATGGATACCTCAGCTCTCATCTGTCCTGGATGGTCGGCCCAGTCCTGCCTCAGTGGGAGGTAGCTGGAGGTGTCTACCGCCCTCCACCAGTTTCCCTTCTCTTCCAGAAGGCAACCTGCATAACCCTGCCCTGTTTGAGGGCCGGAGTCCTGCCGTGTGGGAGCTGGCAGAGGAGTATCTGAACATTGTACGGCTGCACCCATGCCCACTGTCCTGTGTCCGGGCCCACCTCTTTAAACTGTGGCACCACACGTGAGTCCTGCACACAGGGCCATGAGGGGCTACCCGGGTGTGCTGGACCATGTCCCTGGCCCAGCTTGCTGCTGAATGCAAATGGCTGAACATGGGAGTGAAGACAGCGGGGGTGGGGTGGGGTGGGGTGTGCACCTGTGCTTAGGGGCCAAGGACCAGGCCCAGCTCCTGGTACAGCTGTTTGCCTTAGGCTGCAGGTACACCAGCAACTTCGAGATGAGCTTGCCAAAGTGAAGACCCTGGAGGGCATCGCTGCTGTGAGCCATGCCCTGAAGCTTCGGAGTCAGGCAGGTGTGGGGCTGCGGGAGCCCCGCTCTGTGGTGGCCAGAGGCTCCGGTCTCTGAAGGCGCCCTTGGACTTTCACAGGAGGACATGTCCAGGCAGGAGGAAGGAGTGCAGCCAGCAGGCAACCTGCCTTTCTTCCACTGGATCTGCCAGCCCTATGTCCGGCCAGGGTAATCAAGGAGGGACGCAGGCCATCCTTAAGGCTCCTGAGGGAAAGGAGGCGGGAGGCTGCAGTGTGCCGGGAGGCGGCTTCCCCATTGCGCCAGGCCTGCTCCATAGGCTGCAGGGACTTGGTGGCTCAGCTGTACTTCCCTGTCTTCTCCGTGGGCGCTCGTTTCCCCACATGCTTCTCTAGGCCCTCCTGATCCTGGCTAGATCTGTCTGTAGGTTGCAGGGTTGCAACTTGGGTGGGTTTTTGGAAGTGAGATGGGCTGTCCTCTTGGCTGTAGCCCTGCCCAGGCTTGGTGGCCCACACCCTGGGCTCCTAAGCTTTGGACACCAACCCAGAAGCTCAGCCTGTGTGGCCACTCACTGCACTGTGTGGGCCGTGCTGGGTCAAGCCAGTCAGGTTAAGGGGACCCACATTGGCCATCCACCTCTCCTCACTGAGACAGTGACCTGAGCTCCAGCCCACCGACCACACCTAGCCTGTTAGCTCTGTGCGCGTCCCTGGCCCTGCTCATGGTCCTTTCCCTTCAGGCCCAGGGAAGGCAGCAGCAAGCGCGCCCTGGAGGAAGAGGAGGGTGGCACAGATGGCCTTTCCAAGAACAAGCTGAAGAAGCAGCTGAGGAACCCCCATAAGACCTTTGATCCTTCCCTAAAACGTAAGCACCGCTCCGCCTCTCAGGTCAGGGAGGAGTAGGCAGGGTCACGCAGGAGGCCTCCTCATGGCTGTGTCTTCCCTTCTGCTGGGAACAGAAGCTCATCCAGGCTTTGTCCACAGCACTCACAGTCCAGAGCCAGAAACTGCTGGGGATGTTAGCACCAGCACACTGCGCAGGGCCTCAGAACCCTCCAACTGTCGTGTCACAGATGCAAGGCCTATTTAGTTTGGTCCTGCCCTGATCCTGCAGAAAGGGCTGTCTGCAAGTTAGGCTCTTGTGTGTATCCCAACCCTTAGGGGCAATCTGAGTGGATGCTTGGTGCCCTGAGGGAACATCCAGGAGTCATCAGCTTAGGTGGAATGAGGGGGCTCCCCCTTTTCAGGCAGACAGACTTGTTCACTCAGCTTTTTGCCTTGGCCTCAAGGCTCTTGCTGCCATGATCCCAAGTCCCAGAGCCCGCTCATCCCACACAGGTGTGGCTGCTTCCCCTTCCCCAGCCTGCTCTGACAGCTTTACAGACGAGGGAAAAGAGCTCCCAAACCCACACACCTCCAGGGCTTGGCACCGCATAGAGCCAGCCAGCAGTCCCTACCTGCCACACTTCCTGCCACTGGCACAGGAAGGGCTACTTGGGGCTGAGGTCCTGAGTTTTTGCTGTGGGAAAGTGAGGGAGGTCATTCCCTGGACCCTGAGGTACAGGGGAATGGGGCCGGTCTCTGCTGAGACCCAGCCCACCTGCTGCCTGCTAGCCTTCTGGCAAGAGTGCACCCCACTGCATCCTGACACCCAGCCCTTGCAAAGGGAAAGGCAGACATGGGCAGCTGGCATCCTCTGCCCTCCCCCAGCCTCCTAGCTGTGCTGCTGCCCAGTGAGCTATGTGGAGGCGGACAGTAGCCACAGTTGGCTGCTTTGGCCCATCTCAGACATAAAATCATTCAGTTGGCCCCTTTCGTTTTCTTTTTCCAGCAAAATACGCAAAATGTGATCAATGTGGAAACCCGAAGGTGAGTTGGACTTGTTGCTGCACCAGTTCCTGGGTGGGTGGGCACAGTAGCTCCCACTAATCCCTCTCAGGATCTCTGCTCGGGGTCTGGCCTTGGGCAGCCCCTTGCCTTCGCACCAATCCTCCCAGAGGAGAAACAGCCCCTTCCACCCCCTGCCCTGGCCTGGAGTGAGAGGAACTGGGCCAGGGGCAGTGCCCTGCTGCGCTACGATTCCTGGGGCTGTTTCCAGGCATGGGCATCTGGCCAAGGCCAGCCCAGTCCTGATAAGGCCATCAGCCCCAGGCTCACCAGCTTTCCTGTGCCAGGGCAACAGGTGTGTCTTCAACCTATGCCGTGGCTGCTGCAAGAAGCGAGCCTTCAAGGAGACAGCGGACTGCCCAGGTGAGGGGATACTGGCCACAGTCCCTCTACCTCCCACAGGCAGTGGACTTTCTGACCCCAGGTCCCCTCTTACACATCCCTGCCAGGTCACGGACTACTTTTCAAAACCAAACTGGAGAAGTCTCTGGCCTGGAAGGGGACCCAGCCTGGGCGGCAGGAGCCTCCGCAGGTGGGGTCTGGAGCACCCAGTGTTTTCTCTGAGGTCATTGGCAGTGCCCTGGCCTGAGCAGCCAGCAGGAGCCACGCACACCCCAGGGCTGTGCTGAGGCCTGGACATTTCGCACTAAGAACGTGCCTTTAACTCAGGGAACCTGCCACTGGACAAGAAGAGGCAGTGACGTCCTCCCTGGCCTGTGCTAGGGGCCCAAGCTGCACCTGCCCTATGCTTACAGCTTGTGTTCTCAAACATAATAAACTGTTGAAAGGTGTGTGTACAGACCAACACCCCTCAGCACCCCCTGGCCCCTAAGCCTGGAGCTGCTGTCCTGGGCCAGCCAGGAAATGAGCTGTGTCTGCAGAGAACAGCCTCCCTAAGAGTCCAGAAAAAGCCAGGACAGTGCCCTGTCCCAGGTGCCTGGAAGCAGGAAGGAGCAGAGCCAGAGACAACTGTCAGTCTGCTCTTTAATGGACAGGCAGGCAGTGACTGGCCTGCACCCCAGACAACACAGGGACAGAAGGGGCTCTGGGGCCTGTGCTGCCCAGCAGGGCCAGGCACTGCAGTCTTGTCTACAGGACAGAGCCCAACCATCAGTCCCACAAGGCTACAGTGGACACCCTGCTTGCTGCCCCAGGCCCCAGAACAGGGTGCGAGGGGATAAAGGGGGTGCCATCCAGTGGCTGCAGGCAGCAGGGAGCTTCTTGAGGTGAGCAGATAGGTAGCCTGGGTGCCTCGTCCGCAGGGCAGGGCAGGGAGAGGTGCGTGCCCCTCACATGTTGGTGCTCATGCGGGACTGGCTGTTCGCTGGCGTCAGCTCTCCCTGGCTCCCTTCTCGGGGAGGGGACTGCAGTGGACAAGGGATTCAGCCACTGACTATCGGCTGCTGCCCAACACCCTGGATGAGAACCCCTTGGCTGCTCACCTTGACATGGATCTGGTTGCGCAGCACAGCTGCCCTCAGGATCATGGCCTTGGCTCGTCGTTGGAACTCCTTGCCCATCAGCAGGGACTTCTCAAAGGTGGTGCTGCGCTGATCTACGTCCCTCGCGTACAGGATCTGCACAGGCACAGGCTCAGCAGGGCCCAGTGGCTCTTGCCCCCTCCCTACCCCGGCCTCACCCTGCAGCCACCTTGCTGTGCGAGTCGATGCGAGCGTTAATGAGTCCCTCCAGGATAAGCTGTGTCAGCTCGTCCTCCAGGGCCGCCACCGTGGTATTGAAGGCTGTGGCCATCTTGTGCATGTCAGCCGAAACATAGGGGCTGAAATACTGTGGAGCAGAGGTGACACAGCTGTCCACCACTCTTGGGTGCCCCTGCACCCTGCTCCTGTCCCCTGCCCTTACCTGGATGAGAGCATGGTTGCGAATCTGGGTGTACAGGGTCCTGACGTGAGGAGCCAGGTACATGTCCAAGAGCAGGTTGTCCTGGAGAGGAGAGCTGGTCAGGGGCCACCCGGCAGGAGCCCAAGGCCTCTGTGTGGCCACGCCCTTGCCCCCACCTTCATCTCGTCCAGCATCTTCAGGCACGATGCATACTTGGACTCGTAGAATTTGAAGATGATGTCTCGGATCTGTGGCTCCAGCTCCAGGAATAACTTAAAGGAACTGTGGGTGCCAGGGTACTGAGCCCCACACCTGCCTCCCTTGCAAGACCAGGACCCTGGTTCCCAGGATGGGGCACTGGACTGGAGGGACAGCCCCCAACCCACCCACCTGCTTGAGATGACATTGCGCTGCAGCTCCTGCCGGTCAAAGGTGGCCAAAGCACATAGGCCACCATAGATGGCCACATTGCTGGGGGACAGTAGCTGGGGGAGAAAAAAGAAAGTGACTCCAAAACTGCAGGACTACAGGGCTTCACTTTGATGGGAGGGAAGCCCAGAAGCAGCCACCTCCACCCCTCCCGTGAGGGCAGAATAGGAGCCCAGCACAGGACCTATGAATGCTGCCGAGGCCCCATTTCCCTCACCTCAGGGAAGTCACAGTGGTCAAAGGAGGCCAGCAGGAAGCACTTGGCAGCCTGCTTGTACTTGCGTGCAGCCAGCTCAGCCAAGCCTAGAGGACCCAGGAGGAAAAAGGGATGAGGCTGCCTCCCTCACCCCAAGAGGTGCTGGCACCTTGGGGCCATCAGCAGGTGCCCCCTGGCCTCTCCTGTCCCAGGACCGCTTCCCAAGACAAACTCTGGCTAGGAAGTACCAGGGGCAGTGCCTGGGAATCCTGCACAGACTCTGAGGTCAGACGTGTGAGGTAGCCTGGAGAAGCCAGTGGGCTTCCCAGTCACATGCTGGTTTCCCTACCCTGGGTGGACACAGCAGTAACACCTGTGGAAGGGAGGCAAGTGTGTCAAGTGACACCTGCAGCTTGCCAAGTACTGTTCTCACTGCTATGTGAGGCCAGGTTTTGCCCAAGGACCCGGGGGATAGCATGTGGCACAGTAGGATACCTCACCTGCTGCACATTTGAGCTTGGTGAGGATGGCCTGGGTCTGGCTGTCCCGCTCTCCACGCTGCTGCAGGGGAAGGTCACATACAAGAGGTCCATACCCTCGCCATCAGCATAACAAGCCCAATGCCCAGGCCCCAGCCCAAGGGTAGACTTGGAGAAAGCGCGTCATACATACCTCAGCAATCTCTGGTGTGGACTCAGCCTTACTGACATAACTCAGCACATGAGACCAATTTTGCAAGTAAACACTGACCTGGTGGCCAAGTGGGCAGGGTGAGATAGCCTAGGTGCCACCTCCTCTGCCCCTGCCCCAGCCCCCACCTCCCTTGCTACCTTGATGACATTGAGGCACATGTTGATGACATGCTTGGCGCTAGTGCAGTAGTCTCGGGCCCGAGAGTAACACTTGAGGGCATTGCTGAGGTCCCCACAGTCTAGGTAGTGGTCACCCAGGTCATCATGGCCGCGCCTACAGATGTGACCGTGAGTAGTGACTGACGGGGGCCAGCCAGGCCAGCCACCCACCTCCCTTGTCCTGGGCAGATCAGTACCGGATGCTCTCCTTGATGGAGTTGCCTTTGTAGTTCTTTAGGTCTGTGTCCAGCTTCTCCAGTTTCAGCAGGGCCTTCTTCCGAGTGGCCTCTACCCAGGCCGTGTCCAGAGGCGGGGGCTCTACACCGCTTTCAGGGATGGCATCTGGTGCATTTTGCAGCTCCCTGAGGGAAGACTCGGCTATCAAGATGGTGACAGTCACCACCGCCAGAGAGGTGGGAAGATGGCCCTTGCCTATCCCTAGCCTCCACCCTAGGAACCTAGTCTGGACCAGGGGCCCAGAGATCATCACTGGCCAGGCTCACAGGGGGAGTGGCAGCCCAGTGCAGCCTGGCTGAGGACAGCTCTTCAAGCCCCACCAAGTTGTCACTCAACTTGTACACAGCAGCAGGAAGCCAGGATTTGGGCCACCCCCGACTTCTCAGCAGAGAAGTGTACTCCTTGCCCTGTTCTGAAGTGGTAGGATCACAGGATGGGTCCTGCCCAGGCTGGCTCCATGGGGCACACAACACACCCAGCCCCGGACACTTGCCCGCATCCTGGCCTTACCGGGTAGCCTCTGAAAGCTTGCGGTGGATCTCCTCATACATGTCCACATTGAAGGTCCTCTGCACAAAGGAGAGGGCCATCTTCAGAGCCTCTACCCGCAGTGGTGGGCAATGGTCAGCAATGAACTGTAGCCGCTCAATGCGCATCAGGCCGCTGTAGCTGGCTGCGTACTGCTCCAGATCCTAGTGTGAGGACACAAGGAGAACAAAAAGGGTCAGCCAGGGTGTGCAAGGTAGGACCCCACAACCCCAGCCCAGGGCCTGAGTGTCATGGCTAAATGACAAGTCTTTGCTCAAGCCTGGGAGGTGAGGAGAGGGGCACCAGAACTAGAGCAAGCACTGGGGTGGGCTGGAATTCTCGTAGAGCACAACACTGAGCCCGGCTGGCAGTGCCAGCTGCTGAGCTAAGCAGGGAGGAAACAGCATTGAACAGGCTGGTCCCCAGAAGACCTGCCCTCGGATGGCATTCAACAAGCAGGGCTCCCCAGGAGTAGGTGAGGGTCTCGGCTGGGCCAAGAATCCAGTATGAACCGATGAAGGAAACCCCAAAGGTTTCTGAGTCAGAAACACATGACCTGAGAAGCATCAGTTCATGGGCTACAGTTTGGAGTCTAGCCTGGACTCCTACTGAGACCAGGAAAATCACGGTCCCCACAATGAGCTCCATACCAGAGTGGGGTTCTCCACCACATAGTTGACATCAGGTGCATTCTGGGGATCCTCCTGTGGGTCGACGTCAATCTGCATGGGCTCCACGGCCCCCTGCAATACAGGTCGGGTCACCTTGGCACTTCAGGCATCCTCAGGTACCCTGGGGTCAGCTCTGCTCAAGGTCTTTCAAAGCAAGATGGGGCCATTCTCCCTACCAGTGCTGTCACCCAAGTGTACACTCCCTGGCCCCTCCTACTCCACCCATTATGTTGGCCTTGCCAGCAAAAGCTCCTCCAAAGCCTCTAAATGCCCAACGCTGAAGCGGGAAAACAAACATCGGGAAGGTTCCTACACGTTCCCAAGCCCTGTCCTGATGCAGTTTCCTTCAGGCCACAGAGCAGGGACGGGCGCCACCTTGACCCCGGGTAGTCACACTGGGGGGAGAGTCACACCACGGAAAGGAAAAGGGGAGGATCATCTCAGGTCGGCCCGGGACCTCGGCCGAGGGCTGAGTTGCCGCCGTGGTACCTCGGAAAGCAGCGTGCAGGCCGATAGGCTGGCGCTCAGGCTGCAGTCCCCGGCCGTGCCGGGCCGCAGGTCTGACCTGCTGCCCAGGTCCGAGGAGGCCAAGTTGGGTGCCAGGCTGCCCCGCATCGCGACCTGACTGCTGCCCGCCGAGACAACGAGCGTTGGCGCCAGGCGGAGGGGGGGCTGGGGCGAGGACTGTCCGGGAACGCTGCGCGCGGAGTTCCGCGCCCCCCCCCCTCACCCTCCCTGCCCCGCGGGAGGACGCGGGCGCGGGCGCGACCCCGGCTCGTTACCTGCAGGTTAAACACCTGAACCGGCAGCGGCATCTTGCACCTACCCCGTCGCAGCGCGCCGTCTACTTCCGGGGCAGCGCGGCAGCTGCTTCCGGGGCGAGGCGCGGGGCGGGGCGCGCTCTGCGTTTAAAGGGGCCGCCGCCCTCAGCCCTCGCTCGTCACTGGGGGTCGCGGCGGACGCATGAGCCGCGTGCGATGGGCGCTATGCCGGGCCTGCCTCGCGCTGGTCGCGGCCCTGGCCGCGCTCCTGCTGCTGCCGCTGCCTCGCGTGCCCGCTCCCGCCCCGGCGCCCGCTACCGTCGCTGCCCCCAGCCTCCGGCCCGAGGACATCTTCATCGCGGTCAAGACCACCCGCAAGAACCACGGGCCGCGCCTGGGGCTGCTGCTGCGCACCTGGATCTCGCGCGCCCGCCCGCAGGTGCGCCCGGCCGCCCGCCCGCGGGTCCCCTGCTCCCCCGCCGTCCCAGGGGCCTCACTACCGTTTCTCCCCCAGACGTTCATCTTCACCGACGGGGACGACCCTGAGCTCCAGCGGCAGGCAGGTGAGGCCCCGCGCCCGGCTTCGCGGGTTGCTGAAGGGGCCACTACGAGCTGTTGGCAGGGCCCGGGGAGGGTGTGGCGCTGGCCCAGGGTCACACAGCCAGCGCATGGCAGAGCTAGGTTGCCCTTGCCAGGGCTCCATCCCGACTTTCAAGTGAGGATTCCCTGGCCACCTGAAGGTTTCCCGGGGCCTCTGTTCGCAGCCTCAGGAAACCCAACAGGGAATCCTTCCGTACAGGCCGGTGGGGCCCGTCTGTCTTGCTCCTGTCTGTGCTCCTCACCTCCCAAGGAACTGTCATGCTCTTCAATCACTGACAGCTGAAGGACCGCTGAGCCAGAGTTGCAGGGGACCTGGACTGCCCTCCACCCCAGGGGCAGGCTGATTGTGGACCCTCACTTTCCTGTGTCCCCCACCCCCACCCCCATCAGGCAGCCGTGTCATCAACACCAACTGCTCGGCAGTGCGCACCCGCCAGGCACTCTGCTGCAAGATGTCTGTGGAGTACGACAATTTCATTGAGTCTGGGCGCAAGTAGGCTGACTACATCCATCCCCTGGGGGTCTGGGCCAGGGCAGAGGTCTCCAGCCACCTCCAAGGCCCTTGAACAGGACTGTCCCCACCCACAGGTGGTTCTGCCACGTGGACGATGACAACTATGTGAACCCCTCAGGCCTGGAGCACCTGCTGTCCGCCTTCTCTCCCAACCAGGATGTCTACCTGGGGCGGCCCAGCTTGGATCACCCCATTGAGGCCACCGAGAGGGTCCAGGGAGGTGGGACCGTGAGTGCCAGGCCAGTGGCCTCTTTCGAGGGCTCTTCTTGGGGGTGGACTGCAGATGACACTTGGGTCCAGGGAAGGGGTAGGGGGTGAGGAACCAGGCATGGGCCACCATGATAGGTTTCCCATTTCCAGGCCACCACAGTCAAGTTCTGGTTTGCAACCGGTGGGGCGGGGTTCTGCCTGAGCAGGGGCCTTGCCCTCAAGATGAGTCCCTGGGCCAGGTGAGTGGGCGCCTTGCTGCCCAGGCAGGGAGCTGAGGGCCGAGGAGGCGCTGACCAGCTTCTCCCTCAGCCTAGGTAGCTTCATGAGCACGGCTGAGAAGGTGCGGCTGCCGGATGATTGCACCGTGGGCTACATTGTGGAGGGGCTGCTGGGGGCCCGCCTGCTGCCCAGCCCTCTCTTCCACTCACACCTGGAGAACCTGCAGAGGCTGCCAGCTGATGCTGTGCTCCAGCAGGTAGGCATGGCTCCCTGGCACATCAGCAGGTAGCCTGCCAAGGCCTTTGCTCTCCACACCCCCAGGGGTCGGGCTCCCTTGTGGGCTCACAGCCAGGCACAGATATGGGCTGGTCTCAGCCTTGAGATTTCTGTGTGGACTTTGGACAGATCCCTCTGCCTTCTGGGCACAGCATTCTGTGGAGCAAAGTTCCACAGGTCTCATGGGGACTTCTTTATAAAGAAAAGCTCGCCTGCTCCCCTGGTAAAGAGCTTAGCAGGATTCCTTCCAGGAAGAAGCTCTCGGGGAAAAGCACTGGCCCTCACCCTGACCCCTTGCCTTCCCAGGTCACCCTAAGCTACGGGGGTCCAGAGAACCCACACAATGTGGTGAATGTGGCCGGTTTCAGTCTGCAGCAGGACCCCACGAGGTGAGTAGTGACGGGGGTTGCTAGGCAGAGACCTCTGATGTCAGCCCCACCTGGACAGCCCTGACCCTACTTCCTCTCTCTGTCCCAGGTTTAAGTCTGTCCACTGCCTTCTCTACCCAGACACAGACTGGTGTCCCATGCAGAACAGGGGTAACCTTCCCTCACGGTGACCAGGCTCAGCCAGCTTCCTCCGGCTGCTGCTGTGGGAGCCAGACAGATGCTCTGGCCAACCTGAAAGCCAAGTGCAAACCCATGGTGGGCCTGGGAGCTGGGGCTTTCAGCCAGTCACTTTGTAGGGTGGCCCCCGGGAGGGCCGGAGAGCAGTGCCCCTGGTGTCACGGGTGCTACTCAGCTGTCTCCATCAGAGCACTTGGGCACCCCTGCGACCAACATCAGCCTCGTTCCTGTGGGCTGGGCACAAGAGTGTGGGCTCTGGCCTTCCCAGCAGGCCTCATGCCACCCGCAGGGTGCAGCTTTCAGACTGGCTCCATGGTGTGTCCTCAGGCAGAGCTGGCCTTCCTGGAAGCCTCCAGGCCACTTTTCCCCTTGCTGACTCACATCAAGGACTTCCTCCTGCCTGTCCCCTTCTCCCTGCATAGGTCTACAAGGTGGCCTCTGGGGAGGGGGAAACAGACAACTGCTGTCCTTGGGCGCTGTGCAGGGCACAGCCTGTTCTGTCCTCAGTATTGCAGAGTGTGAATAAAGGCCTCCTTGTCACTCTCACATTGGCTCCTGTCTTAATTGTCCACGGGAGCACTTGGTCACGTAGCTCTACGGTGGCAGTGAGGCAGGGCTCTGTGACAGACAGTCTCGCTCCAGGCAGGCCTGGGTCCCATAGCCTTGGGCCTCCAGACCCTGAGGTGAGCACAGGGCACTGTGCAGGGTTACAGAAACTTGCCAGTCGTGGGCCTGAGCGTCACACTGATCCCAGCACACGAACAAGGAGAGCGAATTACACACGCATGGCTGCGCACACAGGGCCTCAGGCCTGTGTGTGCATGGCCCCGTGAGCAGGGAGCCGGGTGGGACGGTAACGCAGGTATGGTATGTGTATTATGTGGCTGGCTTAAGGGTGGTGCAGCCTAGGAAGTGTCGTCCTCCAGTGATGTGAAAGCACCCTCTCCTGCAGTATAGACCTCCTTCGTGCTTAGGATGCTGACTCTTTGGCCCAGCCTGTGATGCAAGGTACACAACCCCCTCCCAGTGCCGACAGCGACTGGGAGCCACAGCCCTGGTCAGCTACGGGACCAGTGAGAACAGCAGCCACCTATTTCGCTAAGCTAGAAGGGCAGGGCTGCTGAAGGTGTTTACCAGCCAGAGCATTCTCAACTTGACAGGCTTTCGCAGATGCCATTGTGACAAGGAGCATTGCATGTGGGGACAGAGAGGCAGCACCAGGCAGTCAGTAGGGTCCCTTCTGTGGGTCAGCGCCACGTCATATCCCACAGACCCTGACTGTGGCCTCCCTGACTCCGAGAGTGTCGGGCCCCTGCCTGCAATGAGAGAGCGTGTGACAAGTTCTGGCGGGACTAAAGTGAGAAGGCAGTGACCTGAAAGCTGCACAAGGACGGTGCCAGCACCCAGGTTGCTGCGTGCTGCCCCGGGCCTATGGCCCTATGTGTGTGTGGATGCTGTGAGCGGGTCATGCCCAGCACAGGGTTCGCAGCCTCGTTTCCCTGTGTGGGCCACATGTGAGGCTCCACAGCCACGGGCTGCTGAGAGCATGAGGTCAAGGCTGTGGCCTCAGCCCATGCAGATGTCGTGTGACCGGAGCCATGGTGTTGCTCAGTGAAGTGGGAAGCAGTGCAGGGCCACCTTGCGAGGCTGGTGTGCTGGCCATGTGAGCTGAGCCTGGCATTTTTCCTTTTCTGATCCACATCCAGTACCACTGAGGCTGAGCGGCGTTTCAACTTGGATCTAAACAGACCTCCTTAGGTGGAGACAGCCTGCAGCTCATACTCCAGGGAAGGCTGTGGCCATCCCCTTTGAGCCTGGGCCATAGGTGGGGGGGAGGTCAAGGACAGCAAGGAGAGAGGCACAGCTGCATCCTAGGGGCAGGAATGGGGCCCAGAAACAGGTGTCAGGTCCCCAGGAGTCAGCACAAGAGGAAGAAGCCAGCCCAGTCCTCCAGCCAGTTGGTGTGAGGCAGCGAGGTGGGTGTCCAAACAGGTGACAGGGAAATGTCCATGCTTAGTGGCCACTTCTGACCTCCCAGCCTGAAGTGTTCTGCAGCCCCCAAGATGCCACACCTCCTCACATCTGCCCTTCATCCACACCCCCAGTGTGAGTGACCCAGGGAAGAGTTGGGCCCTAGTGTGCTTCACTGTCCAGAGGTGGACCAGCTCAGGCCCAGCATCCTCCCTCACGGGCCCAAGCAGGACAGTCACATCACAATCCCATGCCCTCCAGGGGAAGGTCTGGTGGGCAGAAGGTGGTGTCCTGACCTTTGAGTTCAGTCAGGGGCCAGTCCATTTGTTTTGTAAAGGGACAAAGGCCTGGAAGGAACAGTACCAAGAATGATCATCTACAGTTGCCTCTGAAAACTAGTGCCAGGTATGGAGGCACATGCCTGTTAGCCCAGCTCTTGGGAGGCTGAAACAGGCAGATCTCTGCAAGTTCAGGGCCACCCTGGGCTACAATGTGAGTTCAAGGCCAGACCGAACTGCATAGTGAGATCCTGACTCCAAAAGAAAAACAACAACAACAACAAAAAAAACAGTATAATGTTTTTATCCCTTTTTCCTTTTTTGGACAAAATCTTGCTAATGTAATTCAGACTGCCTCAAACACTAATTAGTCCTCCTGCCTTGGCCTCCCAAGTGCTGGAATTACCCGAGTTTTACAAATTACCTATAATGAGTATCCAGTAGATACTGAGATTGTATCAAATAAAGCAAAAGCTTAATCATGTTGGGGTGGGGTACAGTTGTAATGGAGCACAAGGCCCTGGATTTCATCCCCAGGAAGGCAAAAGACAAAGGTTGTGGCCCCCGCTTTACACTGGTTCTGCAGACGGACGTTTCCTAGGCGTCGGCGAAGCCTGCCATTCCGGTTAGGCACTGAGCACTGAGCGGGCCAGGACAGTACCCTCCTGCTGGGGGTGGATAATGAACAGAGAGTTAGTTCCCAGTGCCTGCGGATCATCGCACTCACCTCCTCCCCGAGATTTAACCTGAGCCCATATTCTCTCTCCCTGTTTCCTGACAACCTCTGCTGAGCAGGGCCGGGCACCTCGTTCTGCCCCCAAGGTTCGGGTTGCAGACAGCAGGGGGCGCTGCAGACCAAGGCTGCGGCTACGGCTGCGGCTGCGGCTGCGGCTGGCGCGCCGGGACCTGTGCAGACCAGGTTCCCTTGACGGAGGCCTCAGGCAGCCACTTGGGATGACTTCCCCTTTGTAACACGGGGAGAGCAGAGCCTGCAGAATGAGCGGACCACAATCTTCCTAAAATGCTCCTGTGTGTTTCCTAGCAGCCGTGTCAGAGTGTTAGTTCGGTATCTGATGGCTGCACAAATAACTGTGAAATCATAAAAATCACCTGATGGTACAAAAGAGGTGTCCTGTACAGGCCTCTGCCCAGCCTACCCCACCGGGCTCCAAAGGAAGCAGCGCTGAGCTCATCCTCACAACTGATCCCAAGAGGAAAGGGCTGATCTCCTGTTCTGGCCCCAGTGAGAGTCAGGGATGGGGTACATGAGGGCCTAAGGCATTCCAGCTCAGAGCCACCCCAGGTTTTTTCAGGGTTTGGGGAGCAAACTGAACACCTGCATCAGTGCCTAGCAACATTTCAGGGGCAAGGCACTCATTTTCTGTAGGGACACAGAAAGAAGGGAAAGGGCCCTACAGTGTCACTTAAAAAGTGAATCCAGATGAAATATAAAATCAGAAGAGCCCTGTATGTTATATAATTAGACTTTTGTGTGTGTGATGGTAGGGACTGAACTCAGGACCTCTGCCACTGAGCTACATCCTCAGCCCTTGTTCATAATATAAAACAAAAACATTTCCACCAGAAATCTCCAGGATCAGATTAGGTCCAGTGACACCTACCTGTAATCCCTGCTACTTGGGAGGCTGAGACAGGAAGATCAAAAATTCAACCAAGCCTGGACAACATGGCAAGGCCCTGTCTTAACATGTAAAAGAACAAAAAATAGAAAGAAGTGGAGAAATCTCCAAGATCAAATGATCTTACTGATGAATTCTATCAAACACCCAAGGAATGACTGACAGTGGTATTACACAAACTCAGCAGAGACTGTATTTCCTAACTCACTTTCTGAAGCCAGCATGAGGCCTGTGCCCAGGTCAGACAGATACATTATGAAAAACTGGGGCAGTGATTCTGAATTTGCGTGGCAGTACCAAAGGCAGAGACAGTAAAAGGCACTGCAGCTAGGCCTGGTGGCTCAGGCCTGAAATCCCAGACTGTGGGAGGTTGTGTGGGATTGCGGTGAGTTCAAGCCCAGCCTGCATAGGCAGACCCTGTTTCAAGAAAAAGACACTAAGGGCTGGGGATTTAGCTCAGCGGCATAAGCGCCTGCCTTGCAAGCAGGCAGTCGTGAGTTCGTTCCCCAGTACCGATAAAAAAATGAAAAAAGACAAAAAAAACAAAGACTCTCCTCACCTGAGGTCCCGGGGAGGGCACAGCCCTGCAGACTGCAAGGAGAAAAAGAAAAGTAAAATTCAAGATCTTATACAGAAAATTCTAAATCTGTCACAAAATAATTGTTGAAGCTAATAAAAGAATTCAGCAAAATACATCAACCATAAAAAAAGTTGAATTTATACAATAGTAATGGGCCACTCTAAACTTCAGACAACAATTCTCTTTAACATCTGAAAGAATAAAATATTGAACAGCAAACTGAACCAAGCTCACGAGAGATTTCAATGCTGAGAACTACAACTTGTTCCTGAAAGAAAGAACTAGGGGAATGGGAAGCTACCCTGGGTCCAGCAGTGGAAGAGGATCGTCAGGGAGCACTGGGGCTGGACCGGCACTGGGACATCTGTCGAGCTCTGGTCATTTAGTCGGAGGCGGTCCTGGTATGAGTGGCGAGGTCACTGCTGCAAGCAAATGCTGGGCAGCATGTGCACATGGTCAGTTGAAGCAGAGGACACAGCAGACACATCTCAGGCTGTCTGTGATATACTCCCCTTGCCCTGTGGCTGAGCAGGACAGTTCCTCAGGAGCCAGTCCCCAAGGAGGTGCCAGCTGCAGGAGGACAGAATGGGTCTTGGCTGCGTTCACTGCTGGGGAGAGGCTGCTGGACTTCCCAGGACTCACAGACAGGCTGGGGGAAGGACTGGCCCTGTGGGTGGACTGAGCCAGAGGGTAGAAACAGCCAGCAGAGGGCCTGCAGGGGACACTCCTCTCTTTGTTTGTTTGTTTCTTTGAGACAGGGTCTCGTTTTGTAGTGCATGCTGGCCTTAAACTCACTTTGTAGCCCAGGCTGGCCTAGACCTTGCAGCAATCCTCCTGCCTCAGCCTCCTGAGTGCTGGGATTATAGGTGTGTGCCATCAAGCACGGTTCCCCCTCTTGCTGCAGGATCTGCAGCCCACAGGCTGGATCTCCCCCCCACACACGGCAGCCAATGTTCACAGAGAGTGTGGGGCTCAGTTCCTTGAGGAGGGTAAGTGGGTGCACAGCAGGGCAATTTTCCAGCAGGGTGCCCTACCCTCCTTCTCCTGGACTAATCTAGCCAAAGACCGGGCAGCTTTTCCCAGAGTATCTTCTTACCTTCAGACAAACACCCACAGCCCACCTCAGGGCACCCTACCCTGGGAGAATTCAGCATGCAGCATTATTAGGAAGAGTTTACTCTTTCAGGAATGTGGCCGGCTGGGGCCCTCAGCAGGTCTGCACCTCAGAAGTTGTGTCATAATCCCATTATATAACGAGGGGGAGGGGCAGCAGGCCTTCCCTGGCCAGAGAACTACTGGGGCCCCACTGGGCATGGGAATCTTGCTGTGAGCAGCTGCCTGGTGTGCAGGGTGCCACAGCCTAGAGGGTAAGAAGATGTCGGCAGGATGGGACACTCCAAGAAAGACTAGGATCTTAGCCAGTGCTGAGCACAGCCCTGAGCCCACAAACCCCTACACATATGACCCTCCCTGGGCTCCTGGGGCAGCCTGAGCCCCAGATTCTCTCTCTGAAGGAATCACAGAGACCTTGCAGGGACCAGGTCACACAGGACTGTCCAGAGAGCTGGCAGGACCACCCAGTGCCTCTCAGAACGCCAGGGCTAAATATCCAGGGGGAGAGAAGGCAGCCTTGGGGTGGCTAGCCCTGGGCTCCCTGCAACACAGAGGCCAGTCCCACTCAGACACAGTTATTCTCAGAGGTGCTGGGTTTCATGAAGCTCCGGCACCCACCAAGGGCCGACATGTTTCAGCCAGGAGCCACCCAGGCACCAGTAGGGTAGCAGCAACCACCTCAGGTACCTCTCTCTGGCCTGTGCGCCTTCAGGGTACCTCTGGCAGGACCCTGGGACAGGGACAAGGTGGTGACCAAGCCTTGCTACTGGCTGGGGCGAGCTTTGAGGGTGAAACTGCTGACTCGATTCCTGTGGGCCAAAGGCACATGTGCCAGTGCGTGTGATGACAGGTGCTCACGGGCGACCCCGTGTGCCTGTGTGTGTGCACGTGTACGCGCATGTCTGGTGAGCCCTGCTCCGGTGCGTACATGTGCCCTTGTATGTGCCACGTGCCTGTGTCCTGTGTGGGCCCACACATGCGTGGCTAGGGGCCAGGGGCCTGAACAGTTGTCTCCTCCTGCCAGGGCCCCCAGAACTCCCTCTGTCAGCCTCTGCCCACCTGCTCCAGGAGCCCCTGAGTTCTGTGTGGTCCATGGGCTTCCAGGAGGCCAGAGATGGACCCCGGACACAGCAGCACCCCCTTAACCACAGTCATATCTGGACAGCCCTGTCCTGGCAGTTCCACAAGGCCCGTGTCACACAGCACTGGCCTGCTTTTCAGTCCCGTTCAAAGTCCAGCACGGGATCTTCGACTCTCCATTGCCCTTTTGGGGATTCAACAGGCTTTGGCCAAGCCTCTCCCCCAGAGCTGTTGACAAGCCAGGCTTGGTGGTGCATGCTAAGAATTTCAGCACTCTGGTAAGCTGAGGCAGGAAAATCCAAGTCTGAGTCAAGCCTGGGCAGATTTCAGAACACCTGTCTCAAATCATAAAAAGCAAATAAAGGCTGGGGGCAAAGCTCAGCTCGAGGGCCTGGGTACAATTCTCGATGAGAGGGATGAACAGCCATGGACTTGCCTGCTCAGCCCAGGAGCAGGGCCTGCAAGATGGTCCGTGAGCCGGGGGGACTCAGGCTGTGCCTGACCCGCACCGCCAGCTCCTCCCACTGCCAGCGTCCGCAGTGGCATGGCGGCACTGACTCATGAGGGTCAGGGTTGGTACCAACAGAGATGCTGGAAAACAGTGCTGGGACAGCAGCCAAGTACTTTCCTCAGCCTGAGAGAGGACCGGAAGGGGCACCTGAGTCTTGCCCTAGGCTTGTCCTTCCTCCCGAGGGGTTGCAGGTCGCCACAGGTCTGCCGTCCTGCTAAAATACCAGACAAGGGATGTACGGGGCTGGCGGGAGCCCACACAGCTCCAAGGAGCTGACCTTCCGCTGGGCCCAGAGACCAAGACACAGAGGAAGAAAAGACCCCAGCAGGGATCAGAGTGGGCAGGCAGAGGCCCAGGGTGCGCTTTCTGGAAGGGCCTGGAAGGCTGGCTGACAGCGAGGTCTGGATGCTGCACTGTACACACCACCCGAGCCTGAGGGAGGCAAGAGAGGCGGAGACCTCTCTTGACTGTCCCCAGTGGCACAGCTGGTGAGAAGCTCTTGGCAGAGAACCAGGGGCTGCTAAGGGCAGAAGAGTAACAGGAAGGGTCTGAAGCCAGCACGGTGACAGGGGTGACAAGCTGGGGCCTTAACATCCTCTCAAGGTGAAGACCTGAAGGCAGAGTTGAGACGGAGACAGGGCGGCCAGGACACAAGGTTCCCACTCTCATTTGCTGGCTTGTGTCAGCTTTGTGCCACAAGTCCCCTGGGTCATGCACGCCCTGGGGCCAGAGCCCACTGGGTGCAAAGGGACCTGCAAGGCTGCCTTCTGGCCCTTGTTTCTGGAGGAGGGGTTCCACCTCAGGGGGTCCTCCTGGTCTGGAGCCTGCAGGTTTCTCTGGGCCTAATGGGTCCCTGCAGCACCTGCACCGCCTGAACTCCAAAAGGGCAGTTCAGCTGTTCAACCAGGTGCCCCAGGCTGGCCCCTGCCCCACCCTCAGATTCCACTTGTCCCCTCAAGTGGCCCTGGCCCCAACTTGTTCCCTATCTTGGTTTCTGTGTACCCAGCTGAACCTAGGTGTAGAAGACAACTTGAGTGACTCCCCTTGAATGCAGAACAATTGCTGCAACTTTGATTAAATGGAGATTATTTCCTTATACTAATTTGTACAGAGCTGGATACGGTATTTCCTTCTCCAATTGGTTCTAAGCATTGCAAATAAGGCCAGCCAGGTACTGGTGTGCAATCTCTAAAACCATCAGACAGTCTCCTGCTTCCTCCCATAGCTCTCTGTAAAAGATGAGCACAGCAGGATGGCAGAGCCACTCAGCTCCAGGAATGTTAGCTGGGTATGAGCCTCAATAAAAAGGTGGAACTCCCCAGGGCACAAAAGTTAACACATCAGAAATGGAAGCAACAGCCTCCAAAAACAATTCAGTTGCTACCTGAATTGAATTATGCAGATGGATCCTTCTAGAAACATGTCATTTTTCCTGTATTTTGCAGACATGCTTTTCTCACTAGCTGGCTGGCCAGCTCAAGCTACTCATATAGTCCTGCTACCACAGGCAGCTGAGTTAGTTAGAAATATGAGCCCTCAAAGGAGTCTGTGCAGAAGTTCAGATACCTTACAGCCTTGGAAGAGACAATCACCTCCTACTGTAGGCCAGATCTCAAGACAAAAGGCAAAGCAAATACAACCACATGCTAAGGATCCACTGTCCAAATAGCCCTCTATCACCCTGAGGAAGCCAGAAGTCAGCATCCCACCCCTACAGGAAGGGTCACTGCTGTTAAGCATGCCCCCTTACTATGTGACTTACTCCATTTGTTCCTAATTTAATCAATTTTACCTGAGCAATTAATCTTATTGGTTGACCACAGTTCTGTCCCGCCTTAGGCCCACCTAGCAAATTCCCATTTTCCCCCACCTTTGACACATCTAACCTCATGATTTTAGTCTATAAAAGTCCCTAGGAGAGAGTCTGGCAACCTGCTCGGGACCCCTTCTGTCTCTCTCAAACAGAAGCTTTTTTTCTCTCAATAAACATATTCCACTCTTAACCTCCGTTGTTCCTAAAATTCATTTTTTAGTTTTGGAGAACATGAACTTGTACCCGACATATAGTAGGTCAGAAATTTCATTCCCCTATATCACCACCATCCTCACTGTCACTCATCCCTGAGCCACCTCCCTTCTCCACAAGATAATAAATTCTGGGAGAGGCCTAGGGTCAGGGCCTTTGTCTGCACATCCTCACTGGGATCGGGGTTAGTACCCCTTGGCTGCCCTTAACTTGGAATATGTCTTGGTATCTCTACTCTCGCCATAGATTGCATTGGAGTGGTAAATTGGAATTAACTTGCTGGGATTCCAATAACATCTCAATGGGATTACAAACAGAACTTTCTGGATTCAAGGAAGACTAGAAAAGGGATTATGATACCTTGGATAACTGTACTCAATATTTGGAATTACAATATTTGGCGCTCAATGTGGCCAGAACACACACCTTCACACTGCAAGAATCAACCATCATCTAGGAGACAACCCACTGGGCCTTGCAGGACAAATTTTAAGGTAAGCAGAGCATTTTCCTAATTACATTGCTCAGATGCAAGTAGTAATTATACTCTAATTGCCAAGGGTAACTATGGGCCCAAAATATTCATTATTTACAGAAGAGAAAGACTTCAGTTTATTGCTTATAAAGTTATTGAAAGATGCAAATGTTGCTGTACCACCTAAAAAAGTTTTTAGGCTGCTCCAACAAAGAGCTGTGTGAAAGAGTTTTGCCCTAGAATAAATTACAGGACATTATGGCGGTAGTTCAACATGGTGGAAGGCCAAATTGGAGATGCTTACTCTGACGGCCACTTCCTCCTTCTTCCCCGATTACAGCTTCCTCCTTCCTTTCCCACTGTACCTGAAGAAAATTCCAATCAGTTCCTCAAGCATCATCAGTGCCCACCCCAAGCACCATGTCCGGTCAGAGGTCACAAATACCTGACTGACGGTGTATCTGGTCAGGGGAAAAGCCAAACCATGGCTGGTTGTGCTTCTCTCCACGTCCTTTAAATAAAAAGGTCACTTTTACTTTTTCTTATATCCTGCTTCTCTATGCGACAGAAAACGCTAATACTGTTCTACCCTTCCTTCCCCAAAGCTGGTACACTTGATACGAGTGTTTGACATAACATAGATAAAACCCTTCATGAAACCATAAAAAACAAAAATAAACAACTCCACCCTGAAACTATAAGTCCTTTAATTTAGTAAAAGTAGCTCTCAGGTCCTTACAGATTAACTTAATAAGAGACACAGGCCATCATCCAAGTTCCATTACAAAAGACAACCTAATGGCTAAGGCAAAAAAGAGCCCTAAAGTAACAAGATCAAATATTTCAGATCACCACGGTAACGTGCCTCCAAATGAGTTGGTAGAGACAATGGCATCTATTTAAAAAATGCAGGGCCTGGGGATTTAGCTTAGTGGCCTAAGTACCTGCTTGGCAAGCGAGAGGTGGTGAGTTTGATCCCCAAACTCACTGTTGCAAGATATTCACAAAGATATTCCTAAGGAAATACAGAATCTTTTCAGTGTATTTACACACGGGACTTCACTCGCCACACCGGACTCAGAAGCTGATACTGTGGTTCCTACGGCTTCACCCCCTCCCACACCACAGACACAGCACGGCACACCTCCCTCGTCCCCGCTCAGGTACCGTGACATGATCTGTGCTTAGGCTATGTATTTCCCAGTAACTGAGGATAATGATCTGGATAATCCCACAAGAAAATGTAGAACCCTGGGGGCTGGGGAGTTAGCTCAGCGGCCCAGTACCGATAAAAAAAGAAAAAGACAAAAAAAAAAAAAAGAAAAGAAAATGTGGAACACACACTGCTTTTAATTTCCTACTCCTCAAAGAACTCAGACAGAGTGTCCTCAATAATGGGGTTCAGACTCCTTACACCCTGGGTTGTTTAGACAATATAATTAAGGTTTTCAGATGGTGCCAGGCGATGTGACCCACCTGGCCCGCACATGTCTTTCACCCGCACAGTTTCTACATTTTGAATTACAATTAAGGACACTGATTTCAAAGCAAACACAGAATAATCAGGACAGTAAAGATAAACATTCAGGCCATAACATAAGAAATGCTGTTTGGCGTGGGACAATCACTGACATAAAAATTCAAGTGTGTTCCCTGCCTCTTCCTTTCTGCAACACAAAGAACTATTACATCGTGCATGGATTTCTGTCCTAGAAGATGGTACACCTAATAAATCCTTTACCCAAATTTTAGTTTATAGCTAGACTACAGAAAACAATACATAGACAAGTCTCTCATGAGGAGGCCGCTAAAATTATACATCATCAGTTAGCGTATGACAGTGCTAATGAAGACTGCAAAAGAGCCTTAGCATCAGTCCTGTGCACTAGAGATTTATCCACTTATATTCAAACATGCCAGAACGTTGTGTCCCCAGCCACACTTCAGCACTCATAGCACAGGCTGCACCTCAGCATCTTACTGATACATTAAATGTGGTTAAGTGCTTTAATTGTGGCAAAGGAGAAGGTAGTATGGCCAACACTACGGAGCATCTCTAAGGGCGCCAGCCCCTTCAACTACCCAGACTGCGTCCAGTCTGTGTCTGTGTTGTATGAAAGGGTTTCCCTGGAAGAAGCACTGTAACTCCAGATTTCATAAGAATGGCACAATCTTGCAGAAGAACAAACCATGTGCCCAAAGTATCTCCAATAATTCTCTAGTAATTCAAAACCAATTAAGCTAGTTTTTTCCAGTCCTAATCAGACTAGCAACAATCTGTGCCCCTAGTTTCGCTGGTCCATTGAACGATTAGCATGCAGAATTAGATTTACCTGGGGCTCTTTACATTCATTCATTGGGATTAACTCTCCTGTCCTTACCATTGCAAATGAACCTGTTAAAAACAAGCCTTTAAAACAGAAACTTTGTTTTTCCCAGGGTATTTCACTTCATACAAGTACTCATAAATTAATTGACAAAGCCCTTACTGCATTGCTGGATGTGAGAACTGATATCACCGCAGTAAACAACCAATTATGAACACAGACTTGGTTGCTTAGACCCGTCTCCCCAGCCTTGCTAGGTTCGGGCTCCCCTCAGTCACTGCTGCTCCTTTCTGTCAACCATGATACACAGACAGGCATGGTGACATGCCTGGGCCCTCAGTTACCCAACAGAAAGCTAAAGTTGGATGTATAATAAAAGCCTTTGGTACTTCTATGCAAAAAAGGTTGGAGATCTTATTAACCTCGTTAAATAAACAACAACAACAACAATGTGGTCACTTCAAGCCCACACTATTACAAGTAATTTTAAGAGTGCTATGGGATATATTCACTAAAACTGCTCCATTCCGTAGTGGTCCTATTACAACCTATTTAATCCCCCAAATTCATTGTCATTTGGTGATTATAATGCAGATGTTCTGGTAAATCTGACTTCCAATTTTAATAATTCAAGATAAGCCCATAAGTTTTTTCATTATATTTCTCAATATTTATTAAAGACATTCAAAATCGCCATAACACAGGCTGGACAAATTATTGCCTGTAAACGTATTTCTGGGCTTGTTCCTTGACAGAGTTATAATCACAGAGGTTTTACATCCTCATAAATAATATGCATATATCCCCTTGTAACAAGCTTAAATGTATTTGTGCCTGTATAGGTACCTTCCGCGCGACCTGTCATTCAGGTAAACAAACTAAACATATCATACATCATTGTGTAGCAGCCTTTGCTAACTTAAGGGTGTCATTAACAATAAAATCTAATATTGGTCCTACTTATATTAGCAAATTTTCAGTATTTTCTTGTAACTGGAATATGAAGCATTTTACAAGGATACCCTATAATCCCAAAGATCAAGTAATAATTGAGCATAGTCATTTTAAATTAGAAAATCAATTAATCAAACAAAAACAAGGGGGAGGGCTGGAGATTTAGCTCAGCAGCATAAGCGCCTGCCTGCCAAGCGCAAAGTCGTGAGTTTGATACCTGGTACAAAAAAACCCAAAAAAACAAGGGGGAATATGGGGTCAGAATCGCCTCAAAAATATTTAGATTTTGCTACATGTCTTTTAAATTTTCTGAACCCTATCCCTGATTCTGATTTGCTACCAGCTGTGATACACTGAGACAAGAATCTGACCATCCTCTGAAGTCCTTGCACACTGTAGCATGGTATGATCTCCGAACAGGTGTCTGCAATGGTCCAGCATCACTTTTCTTTTCTTTTTTTTTTTTTTTTTTTTTTTATCGGTACTGGGGATTGAACTCACGACCACCTGCTTGCAAGGCAGGTGCTTATGCTGTTGAGCTAAATCCCCAGCCCCTAGCATCACTTTTCAATTAGTGATAAGAATATTCTTCTATTTTCACAGATTACTAGCAGACATTACAACCATGAGAGCCATTATGTGGCCAGAATCTCACCCACCTGCAGGACCCTTCAAGACCTCAGGCAACGAACCTGACAGAGCATTGCCCACGGTCCTGGGAAGGGCTCAGCAGATGCAAGCTCTTCCTAAAGGCTGCTGTGTCACCATCTTCCAATATGTCCACACTAGAGAAAACTCAGTGCCTTAGAAACCAGTCCACTCCTCAGAAAGACAGGGAACAACATGAGGGCAGGGATTTACTCAGGATTCTTTGACACTCAGATCCAGTACAGCGAGTGTTTGTGGAGTTTTGTTTTTTAATAAAATTTTGAAATTAACAGTTCGTGTTCCCCAGGGGATCACTTCAAGTGTGCGACAGCAGTCCTTTGCCTTCCCCTCTGACTAAGAGGAACAACTCAGGCCCATCCCGAGGACCTTTTAATCTTCGGGAAGAGCAAGGTACGAGCACACCAAGGTAACATTCTTTGGCACGTACGAAGCTCCCATGATCATCCAAGCCATGCAGCAGCCTGTTCTGGGGCTCACCATCTACTTAACAGCCAGGGTTTGATTCAATCACCTGACAGGTTTTTCCTTACAGTGCTTGTTATCCTAACAGCTACAACATGTATTCCTTTGGCTCAGGGAGAGGAGTTCCGGGCTTACATACCTAATCTACCTCTGCTCAGACCCTTAACTTGGATGGACAAGTCACCAGAAATTTTCCATTCTATGGAAAGCAAAAATCCTGCATTTACTGTTCTGCCAGGCCCTCACATTTTCACGCATCTACAAGAACAAACTAAGCTAAATATTATAGCTCATTTCATATATCTTCCCTTATGTGTAACCCCACTACAGCAAGATTCTAGCCACATATGTCTGCTGTAAATCAGGCTTGGAAGATACAACTGTAAAAAGAACGCTTTGTCTTATTGATCTTAACTTCTATTCCCTCAGATGGTAACCTTGTTAGAGAATGTAAACCTAACATTCCTATCTGTATTCCAGCAGCTCATGACCCTCATTTAGAAGAAGGTGAGTGGGGCCCTTGGCAATCTTGCTGAGATCCATACCATGGACAGATTATATGCAAATTTAATTGTTCTTTTATAGATTGGTGCCTCAGAGGTTTACCGATGGAAAAGGTTGAAGTTGGCATGAGATTTCCTTTTCAGGCTCTCCCAACAATGCAATAATCTCAGAAGCCTTGTCTAATATTACATGGTCAGGTAGAGGCCTCAATTCTCCTATTCCTAGACTTATTATCAACGACAAGGCTGGACCCATACAGCACACTTTATGGAAGCCACTTGCCTTTTCATACAGGATTGCTGCAGACTGGGCATCTGCAATCAGTGGAGGAAGAGTCAAAATAGTATTGCAGGGCAGAGGCATGTAAGAATAAACATGTGTTTATGATTCTCGTGGACTGTTGATAGGAAAGATAGAGTGGCAATGAAGTATGTTCTCATGAACTAACTGTTATCTAACCCATTGTATCACACCTGAGTTTCTTTCTAAGGACTCCACAATACTAATCATGAGCAGGATGCCTGGAGTTTTGCTTCCAGTCAATCTGAAGGAGCCTTGGTATCACTCACCTACTGCCCTCTTAGTAGAAGAAATTTTGATTGAAAGATTTAACAATCAAACCAAGGGAATGCTTGGGTTGATTACTGCCCGGATTACTTCCCTAGTTTTTTTGATAGCCAGCACAGCTATTGGCTCCACAGCATTAACACATGCAATACAAACTGCTCGCTTTGTAGATAACTGGACAAGGGGCTGGAGGTTTAGCTCAGCGGCATAAGTGCCTGCCTTGTAAGCAGGCAGTCATGAGTTTGATCCCTGGTACCAAAAAAAAGGAAAAAGACAAAAAAAAAAAAAAAAGATAACTGGACAAGAACTGCTGATGAGAGCTGGAAGATTTAGAGAGAGACGGATATAAAGTTGCAAACCCAAGTGAGCATGCTAGAGACTTTTGTCCTATGGATAGGAGATCAGATTGAAAGCTTATGACAAGGCTTAAAGTGTCACTATAATGTGACATGTTTTTGTACCACCCCATTGCCATATAACAAAAGCCTACATCCTGGAGGAATAATCTAAAAGCATATATAAGGAAAAATCCATCAGAATATTACTATGCTATAGACTCTCTTCAGACTAGTGCTGTCCATGTCACAACGGACAGCTACCCTTGATACCCAAATTAAGGATTAAGATAAGTTTGCTGATGCTATAGAACAATTGATTCCATTTGTGTATCTCAAGGCTCACTTGTTTTTTTGTGTGTGTGTTTGTTTTTTTGTCTTTTTCCTTTTTATCGGTGACCGGGATCGAACTCACAACTGCCTGCTTGCAAGGCAGGTGCTTATGCCACTGAGCTAAATCCCCAGCCCCCGACAAATGGACTTTTAAAGGGCTCACTTCGTTTTATATCAGAATTAGTGTGTGAATTCTATTCTGTATAATTTTTCTCATTAGAGCTTGTCATATAGGATTCACTGCTGGAAGACGATTTGAGGCCATGCAACCATGACTAACCCTGCAGGAGCTACAAAACAAGAAAGGGAGAGATGTGGGAGACAACTGGAGCAACTCCCCTTGAATGCAGAACAACTGCTGCTACTTTGATTATAGACTGATCTCCTTATACTGATTTGTACAGAGCTGGCTATGGTATTTCCTTCTCTCTTCAATTGACTCTAAGCATTGCAAATAAGGCCAGCCAGGTACTGGTATGTAGTCTCTAAAGCCATCAGACAGTCTCCTGTTCCCTTGAGTAGTGTTCTCTATAAAAGATGTGGGCACAGCTGGATGGCAGAGCCAGTCAGCTCCAGGCATGTCAACTGGATATTAGCCTCCAGGTAAAGAGGCTATGAGTCCCCAGGGCACAAAAATTTATATATCAGAAACAGAAACAACAGCCTCCAAAAACAATTCAGTTGCTACCTGAATTGAATTATGTAGATTGATCATTTTGCATGTCTGTCTCACTGCATTTTGCAGAGATGCCTTTCTCCCACCTGGCCAGTCAGCTCAAGTTACTCACATAATTCCCACCATCCTCACTGTCACTCATCCCTGTGCCACCCCCCTTCTCCACAAGATAATAAATTCTGGGAGAGGCCTAGGCCTTTGTCTGCTCATCCTCATGGGGATTGTGTTTAGGGCCCCTTGGCTGCCCTTAACTTGGAATCTGTCTTGGTGTCTCTGCTCTCACCATGGATTGCATTGCATTGATGGTGGTAGATTGGAATTAACTTGCTGGGATTCCAATAATGTCTCAATGGGATTACAAATAGAACTTTTTGGATTGTGAGGAAAACTGGAAAAGGATTACAATATTTGGATAACTGTACTCAATATTTGCGATTACAGTACCTCGGGTCCAGTTTCAGGTAGATTTGTCAAGGTTCTCCTCCTCACTTAAGAAGGAAATGCTAACAAAACCTCCCTCCAGAGCTGGATGTGGTGGGGCACTTGGGAGGCTGAGGCAGGAGGATCATTCGAAAGTTTGAGATCAGCTTGGGCTACAAAGTGAGCCCAAATCTAGCCTGAACTGCACAGTGAGACCGTGTCTCACAAAATTGAAAAAAAAAAACAACTCCCTCCTTTGGGCTCAAGAGGGTTTAGGAGGAAGGCCTTAGAACAAAATTCAGAGGCTTCTGGAAAGACTTTGCCCAGGCACAGCTCCAGGCCCCCTACCATGGTCCCGGAGGGGACACACACGTGTGCACACTGCAGCTTCCCTGGCTCCCAGTTTGAGGCTGGAAGTTTCGTGTTACTTCCTCCCCCCCATGGCACAGGCCCTGGTCCATCTCCAATATGCCAGGGTGCATGTGCACGCGCACGGGGTGGGTGTACAAGTCTGTGTCTGTGCAAGCCTGTGCCGTTTCCCTCCCCAAGGTGTACCCTGCCTTTCCCTGAAGCCCCAGGACAGAATGGTGCACCCCATCTGCTGTCCAGTGGCCTGAAGTGTCCAGACCAAGCCAGCTCTCCACTGACCAGTCACAAAGCTGAAAGCCAGCTTGACCTCCTGTCACCTTGCCAGGGCCAACGTCTATTAACTGAGCAGCAGCCTCCTATGGTGGTGACAGAGCAGTGTGACAACCACAATGACATGAAGGGCCCAAGAACAGACCACACAATGCCCAAGAGAGAACCCTGAACCCCATGAATGGACTTTATTTGGAAAAAGGGACTTAGCTGTTGGGCGCAGGCGCTCAACATACCATACCCCACCCGGGACTAAGGACCACGCCAGCTTCCGCAATGCACTACGTCCCTCTCTAAATTAGCCAACCCGTGCGCACCTCGTGCTCACTCCGTATTCGCCCCGTGCCGACTCTGTGGCAACTCCTGATTGGCCACAGCTGGATATAGTAGCCAGAGCCTGCGTCCCATTCCCGCCCTGCTTCCTCGTGGCAGCCTGTGATTGGTCACGGCCAAATATATAAACCAGAGCCCATGTAAATAAAGCAGCAGTTAACTGTCGCCCACAAGAGCGTCTCCTGTCTCATTGGGGGGCTGCACTGGTCAACTGGTGGCCCGTACGGGGAGCGCTGAGACCCTCTCTCCGACAGTACGGGAATGAACCTCTCTCTCGGACGGAACAGAGACGTTAACAGGTAAAACCGTCAAGCGCCGATAGCGGGGGCTACTCTGCGGGCGGGGGCTGACAGGTTAAACTGCTCAACGTTGGTAGCAGGTGCTACGCAACAGGCAGTGGGTGCTGCCGGGCCGGATGGCGGGGGCTATCGGGCAACCTTGGGCGGATGCCTCGCAAGGGTCAAGGAACTCATAAAGAGAGTTCCGGGGGCCATAAAGAGGCCGGTTTTGGGGGCACCGTAAAGGGGCGCAGAGACTAAGCTGTCCCTGTTAAAAAAAAAAAAAGGAAAAAGGAAAACAAAACAAAATAAATAAATAAATAAAAAGAAACTCTTGAAATTCCGGTTAACATGGGTAACACCGCTACTCAGCCACTGCCGGTCGCTTTGGGCGACTTACTGAGAGAAAAGGGATTACAAATGAAACGAGAACAAATTCAAAACTTCCTCGATCAGGTCGATAAGGTAGCACCTTGGTTTGGTCCCACGGGGTCCGTTACCATCCCCAGCTGGGATAAATTAGGGAGAGATCTTGACTTTGCAGCAGAAAATGGCCTCCTGGAGCCAGGAGTCAGACCCCTTTGGGCAGTAGTGAGGAGCTGCCTCGCAGACGCCTCTTGTCGTGACCATATAAGGGCTGGTGCCATGGCGCTTGGTTACCATCAGGCAGAATCCTCCCGCGAGCAATCTCAAGAGCCTAGTGTCGCAGGCGAGGCGGCCGCACCCAACCCAGAAACAGAGGACTCGTCAGATAATGAGGGGGAGGAAGAAGAAGTATACAAAATGGCGGATGCAGACACCACCAAAAGAGGGGAAGTCACACACACGCAGTCGAGAGGGCCCTACTCTGAGGCCATAAATGAGCTGCAACGCAGGATTTCTCAGAGTAAATGGGTCAATGAAAGCGAGTACGGGATCCCAGGGCCGCCCCGTATAAGACCTACGGCTCTACCTCCCGACCCGCCAGATTATCATGCTTACCCGAGACCCTGCCATCAGCTATGTAGCTGCCCGCAACAGGTCCAGACGTCCCCTGGGACATTCCAGGAAGACCTATGGCATCAAGTCAAAAGAGAGGACCCAGGAGGCCTGGGCCGTTTTCTCCAGGATTTTCCGGTTGCTGTAGATGCTCAGGGAAACAGAGCCCACCTGCCTATAGATATAAAGGCGATAAAGCATCTTAAGGAGGCCAGGACCATGTACGTTGTTAACGGGGCGTATACCCTGTCCCTAGTAGAAGCCCTGGCAGGAAACGCCATGACACCTGCTGATTGGGCCAGTTTGTGCAAGGCGGTGCTCAGCCCGGGCCAATATCTTGATTGGAAAGCCTGGAATGTTGAACTTGCCACAGAACAGGCCCAAGCTAATGCCCGGAACAATCAGGCCACCTGGAACGCGGATATGTTATTAGGACAAGGACAGTATCTCAATAACCAGCTGATATTTCCACAAGAGGTGTATGCACAGATAAATAGAATAGCCATACAAGCATGGAAACGGGTCTCGGCTAGGGGAGAAGTCTCAGGCCACTTGACAAAAATTTTGCAGGGCCCGAGCGAGCCTTTTACAGATTTTGTGGCCCGCATGATGGAGGCGGCAGGGAGAATTTTTGGGGACGCTGAGACAGCCATGCTGCTCATTAAGCAGCTCATTTTTGAGCAATGTACTAAAAAATGTCGCTCTGCCATTAGTCCATACAAAAATAGACCCCTTGAGGCATGGATGAAACTCTGTCGGGAGATCGGGGGGCCATTAACCAACGCAGGTTTGGCGGCCATGTTAATGAAGCTAACTAAAGAAGGTCAGGGAGGCAGAGCGGCACCACAGAATGGCACCCGCCCGAAAGAAGGCTGCTTCAAATGCGGCAGACAGGGACACATAAAAAGAGACTGCCCATCTTGGGGACCCGGAAGAGAACAACCCCCCCCTCCTGAAGACCGAAAGTGCCCCAGATGTAAAAAGGGAAATCACTCCGCCGCGGAGTGCCGCTCCACCTTTGATGTAAATGGGCTGCCCCTCACGGGTAAGGGCCGTAACCCAGAGAGGCCAAAAAACGGGATTGGGGGGCCTCCCCGGGGGGTGGGCCTCCGCTTCTACCCAGCCAGAGAATATATAGTAGACCAGACACTGCCAATGACGCCAACATGGGCAGGTCAGAACCGAGGAGAGCCTCTCCGGGTTCAGGGGGACTTGACCTCTGTGCCACCACTGGACTCGTATTAACCCCGAAAATGGGGATACAGGCCATAGAGACAGATATGTCCGGCCCCTTACCGGAAGGCACAGTAGGGTTGATAATTGGTTGATCATCCCTCTCCATGAAAGGAATACAGGTCTTACCGGGTGTTGTAGATTCTGATTACACAGGAAAAATAAAGGTGATGATGCAGGCTCCTAAAGGCCCAGTAGCCGTAGGGGCAGGAGACCGCATCGCTCAGATGCTAGTATTATCCAGCCGTCATGGGGACTATCCATCATTGTCTGGTATTAGAGGAGACAGAGGATTTGGATCATCAGACCCAGCCTTTGCTGCCCTCGTTCTTAGATTGGATGAGCGCCCCATGCTAACGTTGTCACTCGATGGGCGAAAAATATCCGGACTGCTAGACACAGGAGCAGACCGCTCTATTATAGCTGAAAAGGACTGGCCACTAACCTGGCCTACCCAGACGGCACAACAAACACTGCAAGGCTTGGGATCAGTTCATGCACCTAAAATTAGTAGTCAGATAATTAAATGGGAAGACAATGAGGGACACTCAGGAGAATTCATACCCTATGTTCTCCAGCTTCCAGTTACCCTATGGGGGAGAGAAGTGCTTTCCGCCCTAGACTTGACCTTGTGCAATGAATATTCTCACACAGCCAGGAGAATTCTTAAAAATCAAGAGTATGAACCAGGCAAAGGATTAGGCAAAGACCTGCAAGGAAGGCCTTTCCCCATCCAGGCACAACCACGTGCTCAGAGGCAAGGTTTGGGTTTTTAGTGGGGGTCACTGACTCGGCTTCTGCCCCTCTCAAATTGACATGGGTCTCTAATGACCCCATTTGGATAAATCAGTGGCCCCTACCACGAGACAAAGCAGAGAGACAAAGCAGAAGCCGCATCCAAAGTTATTCAAGAGCAATTAAAGTTAGGCCATATCCAACCCTCAAGTCTATTCTGTTTAAACAAAAGGAGGGTATTGCCCAGGGCATGACACCTAGGGCCAGACTAAATCTCGCCCTCTTTACTTACAATTTTGTAAACATCAACCCACAAGGATCCACGCCAGCACAGCTACATGCCAACCCTGTCGCACCCAAACATGGTTGGGTACGCTGGAAAGACCTCCTGCATGGAGTGTGGAGAGGCCCCAGCCCAGTACTTAGTTGGGCGAGAGCGGCGGTCTGTGTCTTCCCGCAGGAAGAAGGCAGCGAACCTGTCTGGGTCCCGGAACGCCTGATACGTCCCTGCAAACCACCAGACCCCGACCCAGAGGAAATGTTAACCACAGAACAGGGGAACCAACAGGAGCCTCACAAGCCAGACCAAGCAAGTACACCCACAACTCCCATTAACCATGGCACCTTGGCCAACTCCCCTGGTTAGTAGCCTCCTTTTCCCCTCCTTCTTGCATCTCGTACGGTCCTTGCAGCCAACCAAACTTTTATAACACCTCCTTTTCCCTCAATAGCACTCTTTGCTTCAGTCCCTCTACATTATCAGGATGCATTCCCCTAAAAACTACCAACCTCTCCTCTTGGATTGACCCCTTGCAGGGGGCCCAAGTCGAGCCCGCCGCGATTAAGGGCACGCCAGCTCGGAGGCCCCGGGGATCCTTCTGCACCCCTATCTGGGCAAGGGTCCTCCAGTTTACCGCTTGTGACCCCCTGGATGGATACTCCCAGGAGATATTATGGGGATTCTCCCTGGCCACCATAAACACCACAAATATGACTTTTCCAAATTGCTCCACTGCGACCTGTTATATGTTACAATGTTGGGATAACAGTACACTTTCAGCTGTCCTTATGCAGGTACTCCAGTTCGTACCGATTCCAGTTATGACGGACCCAGACCGATTCCTGTGATCTAGCTCGGGCCAACTCTCCAATTGGCTTTCATAAAGGAATGGGCAGGAATAGGGGCTCTGGCTACCATGACTACATTTGCCGCGCATTCGGCAGTCTACTTCTGCTCTGTCGGATTCGCAGACAAAGGAATAGGGACAAAGTATCAAACAAGCATTGCTGATCATGGAATCTGGTCAAAGCCCGGCAGCATGGCTCGCCATGCTGTGATGCAGGTGTGGAGCAAAGCATCGCAAGGGGTGTCGTCCTTGGCCAGGAGACACCCTGGTCTCCAAGTCGATGAGCATGCGGGTTGGGCTCATAAAACAATACTCCCGCCCCCTCCAAAAGAGCACCAATGGGTAGTGAGGTACCGTAATGACTGCGCAGCATGACGCCTCACGAGGGGCACCGACCTCTGGAGACCCTGCGTCAGTTATAAAGAAAGGGGGAGATGTTGGGCGCAGGCGCTCAACATACCATACCCCACCCGGGACTAAGGACCACGCCAGCTTCCGCAATGCACTACGTCCCTCTCTAAATTAGCCAACCCGTGCGCACCTCGTGCTCACTCCGTATTCGCCCCGTGCCAACTCTGTGGCAACTCCTGATTGGCCACAGCTGGATATAGTAGCCAGAGCCTGCGTCCCATTCCCGCCCTGCTTCCTCGTGGCAGCCTGTGATTGGTCACGGCCAAATATATAAACCAGAGCCCATGTAAATAAAGCAGCAGTTAACTGTCGCCCACAAGAGCGTCTCCTGTCTCATTGGGGGGCTGCGCCGGTCACTTAGCAGGTAAAATGGAGGTAAGGAAGTCAGAACCCTAGTGAGTTCTTCCCCTG